ATTTACTTAAACGGAAATATAGACCTGGCTAGATCAAAGACAATATAAACTCTAAGAAGAGTAACGCCATACAACAAAATGCTACTATGCAGCTTGATTTTTTGAAAATTGAGAACAAAATTGAAATCAGTATCATTGCGCTCTCTCAACTGAAAGAGCGAAAAAGCTAAAAATAGAATGGACTCTTCGGCTTCGGCTCTATGAGGGCCGAACGAATCGACGCTGAGCACCGTCGACCAGCTTTGCTGAAGGCAGGCTGGCGACTTACTTCGTGTCAGCATCAATAAGCCGCGACTTCGGCATTTGTTCGTCTGGCTTTTGGAGAGCGAACAGCCAGTCGCCAGCTGGCATGTCGTGTGAAGTGGGAAAAGCCAGATGAGAAGCCAGGCTAGAAATTTTGCTTCGCATTCAAATGTATCTTAGTGTTTATATTGTCTTTGGCTAGATGGACACGGCTTTTGATGCAAATGAAGAGTACTCTGTTTGTTATTTGACTTACCTCGGCACAATATTGAATGGACTTGTTGAAAACCTCGATTTGCATTAGATCCTTAGCCATGCTGGCCCATTGGCTGCCCATGCCAGCGTAGACAAACCAAATGGGTCGCTTTTCCTCCTCATAGATGCAGATCTCCTGTTTGACTGTGCCCGCAGAGCCCAGCAGAGAAAAGCCACGATAGGGATGCAGTGGAATGGGCTTTAAATGGATGTCGTTCATCAGCGCCAAGAACTCATCGTCGTTGCGATGCTTTGTGGCCGCTTCCAAGAGCTGATGCACCGCTTGCTCGGTGCGTCCGGAGCAGATGACAAGTTTAAATGCGGTGTCCTTGGGCTTTGTGCTGGCCATCTTTTTCTTTTCGTGTGATTTGAGAATAACATGGGCATTGGCGCCGCCGAACCCAAACGAATTGAGGCCGACAATGCCGCCCTGCCAGGGCAGGTTGCGATCCATCACTTTGAGTCGACCCTCAACCAGAGCTGGCACAGCGGGGTTAGGCGTATGATAGTGCAAATTTCTGGGTATTATGCCTTCCTCCATGGCAATGATTACCTTGGCCAGCGCACTTACCCCCGATGCTGGCTCTGCGTGGCCCATATTCGATTTGACGGATCCAATTAGCAGAGGACTCGGCCGGGCAGGGTGACAGAAAAAGTTGCCCAGCATATTTGCCTCCTGGTCGTCGCCCACGGGCGTTCCACTGCCGTGCGCCTCGACGTAGACCACCTTATCGGGGCTGAGGCCAATCTCGCTGTAGGTCTCCTGCAGCAGCTGCTGCTGCATTCGACCGTCCGGAAAGGTGACGCCCTGCTCCTTGAAGCCATCCGTATTGGTGCGCACATTCAGAATCGATGCATACAAGCGCTTCGCCTGCGCCCGGCGCTGCAGAAACACGACGGCACAGGTGTCGGCACGGGCATATCCATTGGCGCCCGCATCGAATGTCTTGCAGGAGCCATCCTGGCTAACGATGCCCAGGCGCAGGAACTGCAATGCGAAAATAGGCTTCAGGATGAGATTGACGCCGGCGACCAGAGCGTAATCACAGCGGCCCGACCGCATGTCCGTATAGGCGTGCGACAGGGCCACAAGGGAGCTGGAGCAGGCGGTGTCGACTATGAAGCTCGGTCCTTTGAAGTCGAAGGTGTAGGATATGCGGTTGGCGAACATGGCCCGGGCACAGCCTGTCAGGCAGTAGCCATTAATGCTGCTCGGCTCCATGTTGGGTATCTCGTGCTCCGTCTCCACAAAGGATAGGCCTATGTAGACGCCGGTGCGACTGCCGCGCAGGTCGGATGGATTGATGCCAGCATCAATGATCGCTTCGTGTGTCAGCTCCAGTAGCATCCGCATACAGGGATCCATGAGTTCCGCCTGCTTCTGGTGCACGCTAAAAAATTTGTCATCAAATTTTTCCAAATCCTCGTCCCGCATTTTGGCCATGCGCTCTGGTAGGCCGTATATGCCTGCCGTAAGTAAAGAGAGCATCATATATATGGACATATATATATATACATGTATATATGGACATATATATTTATTGATTTATGTAAAACCTACCTGCCTCCCAGCGTCTCGGATCGTCTGTAACCATATCAATACCATTGAGTAAGTTATGCTTGAACTCTTCTATGTTGCTGCTCTCCGGAAATTTGCCCGATAGTCCGGAGATGACTATTTCACCCTCGTCGCCGGCAGCATCATTGTTTTGTGTCTTCAATAGTTCCTCCTTTTTCTTACTACCCATTTTGTATATTTGGTTCAGTGTCAGATTGGATCGGGTTTAATCTGTGTATGGTTTGGTTTCAAATATTTTATTAATTAATTATCCTTAAAGATATTAATATATATAGCCGACATAAATGTTGACTATAGCTTAGTGTACATGGCAACGAAATACCTTTTTTCCAGGTCATGTATATTCCTATTACAAATTTGGACTAGCATTAGCCGATCCTAGGTGTTTTCTTCAAATTTGAAATATGAAGTTTCCCCCGTGGAACTCCTCATACAAAAGTATATTTTTGAAGCTTGACATGTTCTTAATAAGTTCTTCTGTACGGCTTCGAAAATGAACTTACAGCCGAACAGACGAAACCTAAAACTTTCCCCAAAAAATCGAAGGCCCGCATTTTTCACCAAGGAGTCTTGTATTTTGCCAGATATTTGCCAAAGGGCTTGCATTGAAATGTTTTCCGCTTATTAAATTAAATTAAATTAAATTAAATTAAATTTAATTCGTATGGCCCCTTAAAACAAGTTTGAAGCCGTTCCGCCGAAAAATAATATACATTTTCCACCAAGTGGAATGGATTTTCCGTAAAGTGTTAATAAAAGTACTTATCAATTCCATTTGAGATTTATCAATTGTACCAACTTGATTAATATTGCTGAGATTGAAGATACAATCATGGTCAAAATAAAATTTGAAACAGTTTGAAGGCAGGTTTAACCTATTCTGAAGAGCCTGTTGCCAAAAAGTAATTTACTTAATTTTATAAAATGAAGCCGATGAATAAACTATTTGAAGAACTAATATCTAGCAAAATATTAGACGTAAGTAAACCTTTTAATTATCTGATGTATTCAAATTCGCAGTCAAAACAGCCAAAAAAAAAGTAAATCTTTTTTTATATTCATTTTTAACATTGTTCCAGCTGACAAAAATAAAATTAATCAATGGTCATATATAGTCTAGAAATGCTCAATTTAATATTAAAAAAAAATTATTTTGTGCTGAATCTTTCACAAAGTTTTGTAATATATATTAACACAATTTCCACACGTGCTCAACATTTAACTTGAAATTATTTTTTGAGTTGAATAATTCTTTCTAAATTTTCTTTTTGCTAATTCATCAATTGATTGTTATACTTATTACCACTAAATCCTCGTAATCCTCGAAAATAATAAATAAAAAGAGAATAATTTTAAAAACTTGAACTCTCTTATTAGCTAAGGTGTCAAAAGACACCTTTTGCTTGAAATAGGTATACACAAAACCTTGGTAGAAAAAGTATTAAATGTTAAACGTAAAACATGTACACTAGTCTTCAAACCATAAAACATATACACTATTGATCAGGACCCTGATTCCATTGGCCTATGCCATTTTATATCCTTGTAGAGTGCATTTTAGTTTTGTGCTAAAGCTATACACTATATATATATATCTATATACTATATAATATAGCTGCCATAGGGATGATCGATCGAAATGTAGGTTCTTGAATGGGCAACTCTTTTGGTTTCCAAGCTATTTTGACCGAACTCGACTTTTATTTTCATTGGGCTCTTTAAATACTATATAAGTCTTATTAATATCGGACCACAATATCGCACAATATCATGGAGCTAATATGGTAAAGGTCAATGGATTATTAGCATTCCTTGGCCAAACTAGGTATATTAAATTCAATATCCTTTCAACAACGGATCAATCTCAATTCCAAAGTTGTATATTTGATTAAAATTGAACAGGCTGTAAATGGTTTCTCCTCATAGAGACTGTGTCTAGGTTGGATATGCATATACTTAAGTTCGAATGGCTGGGTACAAGGTATTCCTAGTCGGGCACATTCGCTTCGATCACTGGTTTATGTTGCTGCCATATACCCTATACATATCATATATGTACATGTACCATATATATGTAACACTTTTGCACAAAACCATAATATACATTTTAATCCCATTTTCAATGGCTGGAAAAGTGTCAAATATGCGACAAGATCAAATTGAATTCAAAGTACAATCGCATGGAATTCACTTTAGTAAAGTAAATCTGTTGCATCGGTATGGAATATGTACACTAGATAGATAGATTCACCAGAGTAATAAAAGGCTAAGCAAAAAGGGGTCGACCTTTTGCTCTTGACACTCACGAATAAGATTTAATTCCAGCACAGGTGTGTGTTAACTTTGTCTTGCACTTATGAATTTTCACTTTTTCGTTTTTAATAATGCACCGTGAATCCTTAAAGAACTTGTTCGAGTGTCTGTGCGCTGTAGGATGTTATCTGTGACTGTCACTAATTATCCTGTTAATCACGGGTTTGCTATCGCTCCGACCTGATCCGAAGACACACTGAACGCGACGCGCACTCCGCGCATTCTTTTTATCGTGCCTTGCTGTCTGTCTGTTCTAAGAATTCTAATGCCGCATAAATAATCGCCTATATCCATACTTAATACCAAGCCATATCCCTTCCCTTCCCTTGCCTTCCCTTCCCCCAGCCAAGCTGTATGTATTTTTACAATGGCTGCGCACAGCGATCGTGATCTACTGAATAATGCATTATGCTAAATTTCGATTCAAACAAAAATTGCGACGCACACCAGGAACCAGGACAGGTGGACAGGTGCGTAGGTACGTGTGCCTGATGTGCCCGTGCCCGTGCCCGTGCCCATGCCCATGCCCTGTTAATTAGTCCAAGTGTGTATTGACCCAATTGCCAGTTGCCAGTTGCCCATTTAAATATATAACAATACCCAAACGACGTTCAGACTAAATTTTCAACTTTAATAACGGCGACTGCGAGTTCCGGCCGTGTGACGATCCGTGGGATTGCGTCCGGCACTTTTACGCAAACGCATGCCCTGCTTTTTGGTTGATCGACGCTTTTTGCTGGCATTCGGGCATCCACGCTTACATTTGAACCCGGTTGTTGGATGACCTTTTGCTCGAGCCTTGACGGTGCTCTTTGGCTTACTCAGGGCACTTCGCGAGTCCTTTAGCTGGGGGAGAGTACAGGTAAGACATACATACATACATATATCTTTTATTATATTATATATACTTACAGTTTTGGCCAGGCGTTTGATGACATGTCTGCCCTGGTCCGGCGACAATAGATCTTTGGCCTTTGCTGCCTGTGCCGGCTTGTTGTCGTTCCTGGTGCGGAAGTTGAAGGGCATGCGGACGCGCTTATCGCTCAACAGGAGCAGGCCGAGATTCATGCCAAGCTCCACCGAGAACTCGACAGCTCGCTTGAGATTGCCAAAGGGACTAATAATATCGTCCATTACCACATCCTGTATCTGTTCGCACAACGCATCTATCGATGTGCCTGGAAAATAATTTCGATATTTACTAACATACTTGGCTTAATACCGATTCATAAATTTGAAGATTCATCCTAAATTAAGCTTTTAAGTTATGTGTTTGAAAGATTCCGATTAATTACTGATAGGTATTTAAAGATTGCCATATGCTCCTTCCTTTATCTAATTTCAGTACAAAGGAAATATTTCCCTTTTCAAGCTCGAAAATTTCCCCGAATAATTGACAAACTTTTTCCAGTGTCCTGGCCAGCAGATACTCACATAAATCGGGCTGACGACTCAGCAGATCCAGCACGTAGGGCAATAAGGATGTAGTATTAATTTCCATTTAAAATTTAAAAACACGTAATAATAAAATATACTTATTATTATTTTGCACAATAGTATTTACAAATGTTTGAAAATTTACGTCGTTGTGTATACCTACGGATAATAAAATAATTGTCAAGGGTTACTCGGAAAGCTGGCAACATGTGTTCTAAAAAGATTCCCAAGTTTTACAAAAAATCAAATATACTTTATGGAGATCCTACCTTCTGCTTGTTACATGCATGTGCACAAAACCATTATACCCTTTTCACGCATTTTCAATGGGTATAAATACAAAAGCTGCGCTATTTATGGGACATTATTTTTTGAATACTTACTGTATATTGTCCGATATCCAAAATTTAAAGTTTTCTTAATCTGAGTTTTTTTTAATATAGGTATATAATTAATTTAAAAATTGAGAATCTTAATTGTTTTTGCCATCGATTTGATCTATGCGTGTCTTATATAGCTCCTGAGATCAACTTACATACTAAGGGAAACCTATAAAATCTAAAATATACTTTTTGGGGTCGGATATCCTTCTTTCTGCTTGTTACATGCATGAGTACAAAACCATTATTCCCTTTTCACGCATTTTCAATGGGTATAAATACAAAAGCTGCGCTACTTATGCTGCGGCTCTCTGGTACACCATGGGGAAATTATTTCTTGAATATTTACTGTATATATTTGTCCGATATCCGATATGTGAAGTTTATATAAATAATTCAATTAAAAAATTTAGAATCTATAATTTATTTAATTAATTAATTTAAAAATTGAGAATCTATAATTAATTGTATTACTTAATTTAATAAATGCGAATCCTAATTGTTTTTATCATCGATTTTATTGGGTTGGTAATTAACTTTATCTATGCGTGTCTTATATAGCTCCTGAGATCAACTTACATACTTAGGGAAACCTATAAAATCTAAAAAATACTTTATGGGGTCGGATATCCTTCTTTCTGCTTGTTACATGCATGTGCACAAAACCATTATACCCTTTTCACGCATTTTCAATGGGTATAAATACAAAAGCTGCGCTATTTATGCTGCGGCTCTGGGTGACCATGGGAAATTATTTCTTGAATAATGAAGTTGTGAAGTTTTCTTAATCTGAGTTTTAATTTAATTACTTAATTTTAAAATTGAGAATCTTAATTGTTTTTAAAGCGGGCAGGCAAGTTATTCAGGCTTGGAAATTAACTTGATATAGGCGTGTTTTATATAGATCCTGAGATTAACTTATATTCTTAGGGAAAGAGTCTGGATTTATGTGCTATCTACTGAACATTCTCTTGCCCTAATAAAATCGCTGTTGTGAACCTTTTTGCAAGGCAATATACAATTGGGATTGCTTTATATGGTTTCGACTATTGTATATGATTAGAAACATCTGCGATCCCTTAAGGTATATGTATTCTTGACAAAGACAACGAGCTGAGTCTTTCTAGACAAGCTCGTTTGCCTTTCCGTCTGTCTATGTCTTATGCCATGCAAGTTTAATTGCTTCTATCGATAAATATTTATTTGAAGTCAAGGCTGCTTGATCGTATCTTTCAGTTTGTGTGGGTATATAGGTTGTCGTATACACTTTTACTTCTCATAATCCTCTCTTGTTACTCAAATAATATTTGAATAAAACAAGTTACTTTTGCGGTCCACTCCCATTTGGATGACATATAAATAAAATAATAACATTTCATTCACATATAGTATATATCAAATATATATGTGTTCCGAATGTACTCTTCAATTTTGCTGTACCACGCGATATCCGCGTATATACTAAAAGCTAAATAAAAATGCAAAATTTCGTGAAAAATAGTACATAACATTATAAAGTACCTGCTGCAAGCTCGGTGCACAGGTATCGTATCAAATATGTTAGGTCTGGCATGGGAACAGTAGCAACGACAACTTGTGAGCTAAAAGTATCCGACTAGGCGATACCCTTGAGCTACCATGATAAACAAGGAAAAAAAAAGATTTTACATCCGATAATTTTTACATTTTAAAGAAGTATCCGACTAGGAGATACCTTAGAGTTACCATGACAAAGTAGGGAAAAAGAAGATTTCACGTCAGATATACGAGAATATTTTTAGAAATCAAAGCGACAAACAAAACGGATCATTTTTACATTTTTAAGAAGTATCCGACTAGGAGATACCTTAGAGCTACCATGACAAAGAAGGGGAAAAGAAGATTTTTACGTCAGATATACGAGAATATTTTTAGAAATCAAAGCGGCAAACAGGACGGATCATACGGATACATTTGAAATACAATTTAATATACCCTTTTCGCCTATTTTGAAGGTATAATAGAAACGAAAACAAACTGAAATGAAATGAAACGAAAGAAAGACGCGTGCTTCATTCGAATACCTCCGATCGAGGCTGGCGACGCTGATTGCGCTGGGCAACAACAGCAGACGAGGATCGCTTTAGACAAGCCTTGACCTTGATTGGGCGGCGATAACCACCAAATGGGCCGGAGAAAATCCAGCGACACACGTCCACTCGGTGTTGCTGGCACATGAGAACAATGTGATTAGCGCTAGAGCGCCGCGTGCCGCTGCCGCTGCCGCAGCCGCAGTCCAGCCACAGCCGCAGCCGCAGCTTTTGGGTGATAACTGATAACGTTGCGATTGGTTAGTCAGGCTGGCGCTGACACCTAAACTCGGCGTACGGAAATTTACTCTAAACCGAATTGTGTGTCACGCGCCAAATGGCAAAGAGAGTATCTATATGTGTTATGCTCAATGTAGTCAATGTTTTTTTTTCGGCTATCAAATGTATATATGTATATGTATATATTTTTGCATATTTGATTGCAATCACGCATACGACCAGTTGACCTTGGAGATGCAGGCTGCAGCTGATAAGCCGTAAGCCGTAAGCCGTAAGGCTTTTCACGGTTACTTAAAGGTGAGTTAAATATGTAGGTGCTTGCATACGTCAGGGGCTTAATAGTTCAACCCCAAGCCAGCTGATGCGATGCAAATACAAGCGAAGCAAAAACAGTTGCGTCACATCGAACTGTCCAAAGTTTCCAACCTTAAGCCTTGCCTTGCGACTTCCACATATGTGCCAATATTTTGTTGTTTCAGTTAACAAAGAATATCCATGCTTAAATTTTCAAATATTTTTTACCTAATTTTAATATTTTTTTAGAGATTCAAATCATGTATTTCCAATCTTAAGCCTTTTAAGTAAAATGGAAAGATAAACGGCGACTTCCACAAATATTTTGTAATCTTCCGTTAACAAAGAATATCCATGCTAAAATTTTTAAATATTTTTTACTTAATTTTAATATTTTCCTAAAAATTCAAATCATGTATTTCCAATCTTAAGCCTTATGTGTGCTCATATTTTGTAATCTTCAGTTAACAAGGAATATAATTTTCAAATATTTTTTACTTCATTTTAGTATTTTCTTAGAGATTCAAATCATGTATTTCCAATAATCTTCAGTTAACAAGGAACATAATTTTCAAATATTTTTTAGTTTAATATTTTCTTAGAGATTCAAATCTTGCCTGAAACTTTATGGACTGTGCACTATTTGCTGACATGTAGAATTTTTGTTGTTGTTGATTTTTTTTATATAAATACTTGCTAATCGGCAAATAAAGTTTTGTTTTATATAAATCGGGTTCTCAAATTAAAACAAATGAGCTTCAGGCAGGCATGCTAGCTTTCAATTTTATATATACATATGTATGTATGTATATGCACATAAGTTCACGCGCATATATTTATTTTAATCGATTCGATTCGATTTGACGACAGACCACACCACACCAGAAAAATACCAGGCCAGAGTTGCGTATTTGGGTTCAACTTATAAATTAAAGCCTCGATTTTTAGATAATTGCGTTTCATTAGTTACAAGTACTTTGTATTTAGCCAGCTCCATTCTATCCATATACCAAAAAGAAGGCGTCAATTACCGAAAGGGCTTCTTTTTTCATTATTTCGAATGATTGCACTTAATATAAGTATAAATATATTCATTTTAGCGACCTGTCCCGGCTTCTGACAATTGTTTGTTTTTTATACCCTAAACCCATTAAAAATTGGTAAAAAGGGTATAATGTATTTGTGCAAATGTATGTAATAGGCAGAAGGATGCATCTTCGACCCCATAAAGTATATATATTCTTGATCAGCATCAATAGCCGAGTCGATCTAGCCATGTCTGTCTGTCTGTCCGTCTGTCCGTATGTATGAACGCAAGGATCTCAGAACCTATAAAAGCTAGAGACTTGAAATTTTGGCCGATATTTTCCGATATTCGATAACTTGCCCCGTTTCCAAGTAATCGATAAAAATCGATGTATAAAATCCTGTTTTTTGAACAATTTTGGTAAATAATAAGAGCTTAAATCACCAAAATTGACATGTAGCTTCTAGATTAGCATACATATATCAAGTATTTTTCATTTTATGCCTATCGCCTGTCGGAAGAAGAGGGTTCAGGGTATCTCCTAGTCGGGAGCTCCCGACTGGAACCTCTTACTTGTTATTCTTTTAATGTGTCGTTTAGGTCTTTCCGAACTCATTTATTCGCTCCATCTATCCCTATTTAGATTTGTCATGTTTTTTCCTCTGGCAATTATAATAAATTGTTTTTGAAATTTTTACTCGGCTTGCCTATTTTTTTAACAAGTATTATTCTATAAGAAATTCCTTCTTACAACGCAAATCTCTATTTATCAGCTTTTCTTTTGGGCTTCCATTTTGACCCCTCAGCCCAGTGCCAGGCTACCAGGGTATATACAAATTAAAGCTTCCTTCCGTTTATACTTGGAAACGCAGACGAACAACGCACATGCCTCAAGCCCCGCCATACGAGAAATGCGTTCTTGATTAACCTTGGTGTTTAAAGGCCAATCTTGATGAAATTTTGCAAGGCATATGGCCTTCCTAATGTCTATGTGCTGCAAAGCGCAAGGCTATACATTTCATAAACAACTTTTTCACTATATAGAGATGTATACAGAAAGTAAAAATCGTAGACTAAAGATCTCAATAAAAAAAAAAGAATCAAGTTAAAGTATATATATATATATACTTACGTACTAAAACAGAAAAGTTCTGACTGGAGAGTGGCTTTAACGGCAATTAATACCCCACCACCTCGAGTCAGCCGATCATTTCTATGCAAAATAAAATTATTCGAAAAAACCACAAAATCAGATATGGTTGAATTTAACCATGTTTCTGAAAATGCGATTATATCCGAATCGAAGGAAGTGCTGGCAATGAAAAGATTTTTGAGTTTTGAAATGAGACCTCTGACATTCTGATAATGAATAGAGACTTGGTCAGAAGAGGAAGTTAGTTTTTTGGGGCAGAAATGGTACCCTGTATTGAAGGGACTGGAAGGGTGACAGGCTGGTTACGCTTTTTTGGCTTGAACTCGTGAACAATCATGTGTGGAGGCCAAAATTTGGGATCACAAATGATTGGGAACATATCATGTGAAACATTTATTTTGAATGATGATATTTCACGAGGAGTGGAGAAATTAAATTTAGTAATTGACACGCTAGCAGAATAGGCTAGCAATATAGGCTGCCAATGACTCAGAGGTGGTGTCAGACGAAAGTCGAGACACAAAAACTTGCCTACGAGGGGCAACAACAGTTAACGTAGGCGCTGATGGGGCTGCAGGGAGAACAGGATTTGGTGGGGCTAAAGAGGCACCATGATTGTTTTTAACAATCTGGGCAAGATTGCGCGCAGGTCTACCTTTGCGGCCAGGAGCTGAGGGGGCTGAGGCAGTTTGGCTAACTGGGACAGGTTCAGGTACAGGGTCTAATGGGACTATTTCACGGGATAAAATTGGGGTAATATTTGGGCAGTCGCTCGGAGAAGGCGATAATGACAACATTGGAGATGAATCCAAGTTGCTCGGAAGGGACAACACAGGCAAAGGTGTCTGGACAGACGGAGAGGGCATATATATATATATATATATATATATCAAATATAAATTATAATTATAAATAATCAAAGTCATGGAATGTATGAAAAACCATCCGGACAAATAAATACATTTTGTGACACATTCAATATTTGAAAATATAAACATTTTTTTGATCCAAACTATTTAAAAATTAAAATTATTTGGTTTAGGTCCGGCTTGAGGTATTTAACCCAACTAAGCCGGTTTAATGTTGGGTTCATAGTTTAACGACAAAATATTGATATCTTCGACAGCTTTACGGCTCGTTAATACGGAGTTTGCGGAAAACTGATTCTCCCTATACCGCCATATAATATAGTCGTGCGATCTTGAAAAGACAGCATCATTTAAATACTAAGATATCTTAATAAACAAAAATGTTCATTATACAAAGAACTTAATTTTTTGACCGATCGTTCCGATGGCAGCTATATGATATAGTGGTTCGATATTGATAGGATTTTGCATATATTGAAGGAGCATAGTGAAACTAATAAATGCTGAGTTAGATCAAGATATCTTGAAAAACAAGATATTTTTTCGTTCAAGAGTTTAGTTTTCGACTAATCTGACAGTAAGAAAGAATAAAATAAAAACTCTGCTGATCTAGAAAATATATACTTTATGAGGTCGGAGATGTATCCTTCTATGCTTTACGCATATCATCACAAAATTGAATAACCTCGGCGATTAAACTCGGGTATTAAGCTCCGTTTTCCTGGTTCAAATCGGTGCGCAGTCTTGATATGTGCTTTATTAGGGTCAAAAAGTCTTGTTCATGCTCTATCTATTATTATTATTCTCTTAGCATGTTATAAATAATATGCTTGTTATGTTAAATAAGTCTTTTAATAAATGGAGATCAGAGTTTGTATTGAACTTTTTTGTTAATATATTCGATTGGTTTCAACAGGTTTTTTAACTGCTGCACTTGGGGTGAATAAACGAAAGTTTATCCAGGGAATAAAATTGGGTGCAAATAATAGATTGATAGACTTTTGGATATTAAATTCGAATCAATTTTCAAATATCTTTGTAAAATATATCTAAAGACATGGAGCTTAAGGAAGCATGTGTAGATTAAGGGCGAATACGAATGCGAATTGGTGTGAATAATGTGTAATGTAGACAGCGGAATGCTCTGTCCCATTTTGTTTGTCTCATTAAATGTTCCAAATAGAAAATGTTGCATATCTTGAGGCTGTCGCTAATTGTGTTTGTTATGGCAGTGTGTAAATTTTATTGGGGCTCCGATCTGGATCGAACAGCTGTTAATTAAAGCTTGTTAATGCTATTAAAGCGAGCGAATAAATAATTGAGTAATAAATAATTTGAGCTTTTATAAAGCGGAATCGTTTTGGGCTTGAATCCCGAGCATATATCAAAAATAACAATCTGTAAATCGAGAGCTTATCTAGTTGCGAACAGATTTACTTTTTGATCGAATATTAGATTAATTTTTATACCCTGAACCCATTTAAAATGGTTAAAAAGGGTATAATGTATTTGTGCAAATGTATGTAACAGGCAGATGTCCGTCTGTCCGTCCGTCTGTCCGTACGATTGAACGCAAGGATCTCAGAACCTATAAGAGACTTGAAATTTTAACTGTAGGTCCTCCTAGTTTGTTTCCGATATTCGATAACTTGCCCCGTTTTCAAGTAATCGATACAAATCGATATCGAAATCCTGTTTTTTGGGCAATTTCGGCAAATAATATGAGCTAGAGTCACCAAAATTGACATGACATACTTCTAGAATAGTATATATGTATATATCAAGTATTTTTCATTTTATACCTTACGCCTGTCGGAAGAATAGAGTTTAGGGTATCTCCTAGTCGGGAGCTACCGACTAGAACCTCTGACTTGTTTTAAACTGATTTTTAAAACAGAAACAATATAATCAATAAATAGTTGCAAGTCTTACAAATTAAAAAATGACTTAGCAACAAAAACAAATACTTAGCTTAATACTTATAAGTATAAAACATTTACAAAACCACAATTGAGATTGTTCTGGGAGTATGCGATTGACAAATATAGCTCCTAAGGAAATCACAAGAAAGTGATTTCATGCACGGCCTGGACGAATTCGTATTCTCGATATTAACACAATTTTCGTAGGTATTTGAATTGATTGGCTCTTCATTGTCACACCAATCCACATAGCTTGGCCGCATGCCGCTGGACATGGAAACGTAGTGGCCTTCTTTGCCGAGATCGGTGAGATCCAGCCAATAATTTGTGGAATGTGTCGTATTTTTAATATAACTACTCAATTCGTGAAGAGCTTCTATTTTGGACAGGCTTATTAAATGGCCACCAATACTGTGGCAATTGTGCAGAGCCGTGTACCAGGTGACGAATCCCGCTTCAGGTATATAGTAATATCCGGTTCCGAACTTCTTGAACAACGGCGAGGGATTGTAACCTGCCGGTATGCCCAGCCGACTTATAGTTATAGCTGTTGATGGTTCTGAAAAAGACGATTATTTGATTATAATTATAATAATTATATACTTTAACGAATATTTTCGCTTATCATTGTAACCATGTAACCACTTTATCGGTTCAAATCAGATGTTTAAATTTTGTGACACGATTAACTATTTCAAGTTTTCAAATGGAAGGACAGCAAAACACAAATGCGTTAAACATATATTTGACTTGAAACTCACCTGCAATGCGAGTCCCTGATATTGACAAGCCCGTCAAAATTTCCAACATCATAAGCGCAGCCAAAGTAGTCCGGAACATTGTAAAGATCCTGGAGAGGGGTCGTCCGTAGAGTCCGGCGTTTCGTTACGTTATGATTTCACCCTGTTTTTTATAAGCTACAACTAGCGTGTGGCGTATACATTAAAACCACATTCAGCAGAATGACGCCTTCGTAATTTTTTATTAGACGAATGACTAATTTAAAGTAACCGGTCTCGATGCAGATATCATGGTTAACTATAGGAAAATAACATTAAATTGTGGGCATATGTAGAATAACAATTTCTATTTATAACTATAAACAAGTGCCGAAGTCAATAACTGCCGAACAGGAGAAGTTTCTTCTATACATTGATTCACGAGGAAGCTTTATGTAATATAGGAATATATGTATTATAGGAAATGCGAATACGCCTAACTCTGGAGTCGATTAAACGATTTTTATGCAAATTGCAGGGCATAAATAATTAATTCGAATATGTTTTTTTAACAATTTTGGGGGGATTTAGTCTTAAATCCTTAAACACAGGATATTAATATCGATGCTTATCGATTTCGTGGAAACTTGCTTTTAATGATTTCAAATAAACTCGATCTGCGGATAAGCTATGTGATATATCTTAGGTTGTTCTTCTTTAAAGATTATTCAAAAACTATTAAAACGATCTTTTTAATTAAAACAATTTTATGACTGATTCTGTATACGAATACGATATAGAAAGTATGACAGCATAGTCTGAGAGTCTGTCAAGTTGCATCGAGATGTCAAGACTCAAAAATCACCCAAAAAATCTATACATTCAATAACTTCATTTTCGATCGATCTGTCAGATCTGTATGATATACTGATCTGATTCAGCTGATCCAGCTACCTTTAGGCGGTTTAACGAATCAAGTTTAGAGGTTGTCCAACGTCTCCTTCAAATTTGTGACAAATTTATAATAAACTATGTTAGGGTAGAAAAACATAGGTGTGTCTGTATTGTTATTAATATCAATTGTAAAATACAAAATAAAATAATTTGTACACAAATTAATTAATAAATAAGTCAAAATGCGACTACAGCTTTTGCATACATGCAAAAGTAAATGTTTTTAGTCGCCAGCATGGACAAATACGAGTATAGCAAGGCACATTTGATTTAAGACAACATAAATTGAACAACAATGTTTAAACAATAAAATGATTAAGTAATAATAACGGGTGTAGAGAGAGCTAATCAACTTGCTTGGCCTCATCTCGATTGCGCTTGAAGGAAACCGAGTGGATGAGAAGCGGAGGCAGGTTGCCGCGCAGCATTTGGAGGCGCTTGCTCTTGACCTGCTCGGGACGACGCAGCTCGTCCTTGGACGAGGAGGTGGAGGTCGCGGACGTTGATATGGAGGCCAGCGATATGGAGCCGGGCAGTATTTCGGTGCTCTGAGTCAACAGCATATTGGAGCGCCGGAAATAGCGAGGCATCGAGTAGTCATCCTGTGAGGCACGCGCCGCATTCGCGTTCTGTATGGAGTAGAGGCTTTGCGAGACGCGATACTTCTCAATGGTCGGCGTGTCCTCGTAGTTCTTCGGCAAGTTGCTGAACGATATGGACGGCACCTCCGGGGTCATGCTGATCTGGCTGCCCGTGCCCGTTATGGCGAATATGTCCGTCTCGCTGGCCGCAACACTCATGTGCGGCACACTCTTGGCGGAGCGCAGAATGCGCTTGGGCGTCGCCGCCAGCCCGGCCACGTTTGGCAGCAGATGCGGATGGCGATCGATGAGACGCGGTCGCAATATCACCTCGTCCAGCATATCCTTGTCATCCTCCTTTTCCTCTTCGGCAATGGGCTCAAACTTCTTCGGCGTCAGCGTCTGGCTGCCCTCCGGCGATGAGTCCGAGGACGCCAATGTGAAGGTAATCCGTTTCTCGGATGTCGTCGGTACGGCTCCGGCTGTTTCCGACTTGGTTGAGTCGGTTGCATCGAGCTGCAGACCAGCTGTAATAAAAACAATTAATTACATTAATTTAAACGCAATTCTGTAAATGACTTTAATAAATGTAGCCCAAAGATATTAGTGTCTATCGACCTCATAGATTATAAGAAATAGAGACTGCTAATATTGGAAATATTGACTTTCGTATATTTTCTATAACTACGCACCTTTCCTCTAGTCAGGCCTCTTAACTAAAAAAAAACTATGACATATTTGTTTACAAAATGAGGACAGTTTAATTTTCGTAAAAAAGACCTTAAATATCTCACTTAAAAACTCCTTACTCTACCTGCCTTGCTATGGCCAATATTGCTGTCCGATTCCTGGCATAACTAATAAAACAATAATAAAAAAATAAAAATAAGAAAATAAAATAAAAGAAATAACTTAAAAGCTCAAACTATTTAATGGTTTAAATGTTCTTTCTCGTTGTTATATCGCACGATATTAATAAATATATGTAAATTATGCATCAGGATACTTTTTGAGTAAATTGCCAGCTTTGCTTTGACATGAGAGTCATCCTGCTGTGACTAACTAAATTAAATTAAATTAAATTAAATAATAAAAGTTGTTCGAGAATTTGGCAGTCAAAGTTTATAGGATGAAAGTTTGATTTTCGTCACTTTATAAAGGCGAAAATACTTGTTCCAAAATGTTATCCTTCTTTTCACACAACTACATATGTGAAATAATTTAAAAAATTATTCAAAGTCAAAGTATGATGGGCGGGAAATTATTTGAAAAGCGTTGTATACAGCTTGAAGTTAAAAATTGGCAAAGATAACACGAGAAAATCTCGAGAAAATGAAAAGTCAAGCTAACTACATTATACATTTTATCAGAGGCGCTTTAATTCTGGAGATGCTTGCTGATAATAATAAACATTGAGGAAACGAATATAATTATATTCATTTATTTTGATGCACACATAGTAAAAAGAAAATATAAACATATAAAAAGAAACAGAAACAGAAACAGGAGAAGAAAAGAATTCCTATCACATTATCAGCGCACAAATTTTATTACTGGTTATCAGCGAAGCAAACAAACCAAGTCAAACTACTTAATTCGAGAATGACAGCTGGGAGATACCCTGTATTTGATGTTATGCAATTTTATTTGCTCTTAGGTGAAATTCTGTAGATCTTTCGCAGGAAAACGGACGGACGATCGACTCAGTTCGTCGCCTGATCAAAAATATATATATATATATACTGTATGGAGTTGGAAATGACATATTCTGCTTGTTACTGGCAAAAAGTTTTGGACTCCAAGCTCCAATGAGGGATTCTTCCCCTCAATAAGAGTCGAGCAACTCATGTCCCTGGCACATCAGACCGTCTCTTAACATTATTATTATTGTTAATTTTATTACTATTGTTAATTTTATTATTGAAAATATTAATATTATTAAATTCATTCATACCCGTTTTGCAATGTGTACAGGGTATAAAACTGATTTACGCGCTGCACTTGTATAGACTTGATAGGAACATTCCCGATTACGGTAAAGTTAACCTTATCTGCTGTGGTGAATGTTCGCAAGGTAACAGAAGCAAAACTCTTCATTTTTTTTCGTTTAGCCCTCGCCTACAATAAATGCAATCATTTTGTTCTTTTAATTCAATTCTTGGTGTTAGTGATTAAATTCTAAATTTATTATTATATATGTATTCAGGAGGCATTCCAGTCACCTTTGAAGAATATATACTCTTGATCCACATCGAGATTGTGAATACTATAAATAGATTAAGTATACTTTCGACAACTGGGCCAACATCGAAGAATATCGATTCCAAATCCTGTTCTCAGCATACAACTTCTTTACTTGGTTTTTTGTCGCGCTTCTCTCAAAAGGTATAAAAGAAAAATTGACTTTTACAACACTATCTTTAGGCACTACATTTTTTGGGAACCGTCTTCCTTTTGATACCCTTGTAGAGGGTATTACAATTGTGACGAACTTCGGCGTGGCAAAGGATTCGCATCAGTTAAGTGGAGAGAGGATTTTGTATGGGGTAAAAAGAATTAATGCGGATTAATAATTTCCAGGTGGACATTACCGTAAACGGCATTGTTATCGCAAGCGTGGAAAATGCTCGATTATTAGACATGTGTTCGCTCGAGTTTGTTTGCATTACCGATTTCATTAGCGCACGAGCAATTTACGTATTCAATGGTAAAAGATGATTTGAAAAATGTAACCAAGTACAATTTGTGCACAACTACTGATTATTTGCTCGACTATCAAAAGGCAAGATAAAGGTCGAGTCTAATAAGTATTGGGTTTATTTTAAAGCTTATCTTTCTAAGAAAGCCTATTAAAGTGATAATTGGGTCTTCCATTACATCAAGCTAATTGCAGAAACAACTATTTTCATCATTTACTCGCGCATTATATAAGTCAGAATAGTTTTGCAAGCTTTTTTCTAAGAAGTCGACATTATTGTAAGTATATTAACTAAATAAGATTATTCAAGCCCAACCATATTCTGAAATCCCAATTTGAATCACAGAAATTCATTTTTTCATCAAGTAATGATTTATGATTACAAACCAATTACAACTAGTTTGCAACAAGCTGGAGTCTGAATAATATCTTTCAATATATTCCAAATTTAAGGACATCAAATGAAAATCAACAAATTAACATTTCTCAAAGCTTGCAGCAGACAGTTCAGCGATGATTGATGACTGATGACATCCATAACAATGCATTAGTTGCCTTTGAGTATATGTTTTGGTTTTCATTACTTTCATTTTTCATTTACCTTTTTTTGTTTTTTTTTCATTCAACATAGAGCTAATCAAGTGATTACAAGGTCTAATAAAGTCCATGATGAAATACATAAGACTTATAGGTAGCTAGGTGCTAACAATACGAATAAGAATAAGAATAATACTACTAAACGCTAACTGAAGGTAAATATTTTCAATTCTCACTCTTTACTGGTTGGTTGGTTGGTTGCCTGGTTATCGATTCTTACGTCTAATTAATGATATTAGGTCACATTTTGTGGTGTAGGTACTAAGTGAAAGTTTTCAATACATAGTTAAGTAAGTATCTTTGGCACTAATACTGCTACCCACAGCTTGGAACTTGTTATGGGTTCTGTTTAACTCAAGTAGAACTTAACCTTCGGCACGCCGCCAGAGACGATGCTACTGCTGCGCGTGCTCTTACCGCTAGTCTTGCCACTGGCCCCCCCACTTGGAACAATCTGGGCATGACTTTGGGCGTGGCTGTGCCCCTCATTACCTTCCAGACGTCGCAACAGGCGCTCCTGTTCGCTGAGACGCGGCGTGGTGGGTGCCTCCTTATTGGGCGAGTGGATGCCCGCCAGGTAGGTCTTCGTGCTGATGCGGTTCAGCTTGGTTGGCTGATGGTCCTGGAAGATCTGCGAGTTGGCGAACACCGCCAGTATCTCTGGGCCAAGCATGGGCACATTCGTCTGCGTCACGCGGCGATAATCCTCTTCGTGTATTTTGGCACTGTGCAAAAATACACAAACATTAAATATAGATAAATAATACAATTGAGCGAGAGAAAAAAAGAAAACCATATACATAGCTGCCAATGCAAATAGCAAATATTGCATTTGGCCGAGCGCTGTGCCATCATCATTTCCCCAGTGTCCGGCAAATCAGATTCGCAGGCAAATGAATCAAAGCGTGCGACTGACCAATTGACAGCAACTAACTAATAAATTAGCAAATGTCGGCGCTTCGCTTGCTCTGGCAATTAGTACCTCATTAGGCCCGAGTTGCCACGACCCAGCGGCTGATTGCAAATTGGGTGTGGCACAGTCAGTAGATGCTGGTTATTGTCCGGCGGCCCAGCATGTTGAGCGCGGCCAATAATCGTGCCACTCTTCTGGGCCGATAGATATTCCTCATCGTCTTCGGCATTATAGTTGGCTGTGAAGCAATGCAAATAGATACTGTTATTTCACATTATCTGCAATTGGCCTTATTATTGGCAATCATTAGTGCGATGTCTACCTTATGTAAGTAGCTGATGTCTCTTTAACATTATTGTTATTTCTTCATTGCCATACAATCTGATTTATTTTGCCCATTCTGTCGGCAGTCTATTAAATTATAATAATTTCAATCGAATCGATTTGCTTGTTTTTTTTGTGCACACATTTTAAATGCCAATCACGGCCCGCCCGCCACCTACCGGACACTTCATGCACACTTCGCACACACACACACACACACACGCATACATATATACGTCGCTGTGTGTTTGGGCATGTTCAAGAGTAGACTGTCCATGTCTGTCGCATAACTTTACGGCTTAAACACAAAATATACGCATACATTCAAGCAACTATGTATGTTACATATGTATTTATATATATACATATATATATATGCATATGTATGTACATAGCAACACGTAGGTAAACATGCACCGGCTAGCCCTCAACTCTCCAACAAAAAGATGAGGCCCCCTCCCCCCCTCAATGAGAGTGAACAGAAAAGCTACATAAATGTAAATTGAGACTTACCGATTGATTCATCATAACAAAACCGTTCTTCAAAGCAGTTCCAGTAGAAATCTTCCAAGCAGCTGAAAGGTGTTTGAAGAGTGCGAGGAAAGGGCAAAGAAAATCAAATGTTAGCAGAAAATGTAAAAATAAAAAATATATAAAAAAAAAGGTTGAGGTCCGCTTACTTTTGACAACAGCGGCACATTTTGGAAGAGACTGGAACGAACAACTTCAAGCGTAGCAGTAACTGAGTTTTATCCCGTTCCCGTTGCGGAATGTTTTCGCTTTGTTTGACTTATTTCTGCTGCTGCGGCTGATTATATGCGGCATGAAATAGCGAAGAAAATTACATTTATGTATTGTCGTGGAATGCGTGTGACTCGTCCGAAAGTTGTTTTTGTGGCGCAGCGTGGAGCGTGGAATCAGCTTGACGTTTTATCGGCAACTGAAGTGGTAGTGCCCAAAAGTATCTCGCAGATAGCATAATGGCAACTCGCTCACACTTGCGTGTTGACAGGCAGAGAGGGAGAGAGAGAGAGAGAGAGCGAGCGCAAGAGAGGGAGAGAGGAGTTTTCTAACTGTCACACCTGTGTGTGCGTTAATGTGGGCTTTGACTTGCTCAATAAAGATCGTGACATACGAAAGCTTTGATTCCGCCTCTGCTCGCAGCTCCAACTCATCCGACATGCACAAATAAACTCCCGCCCGAGTCGTCATCGAAAGTTTTCAGAGAGCACTTCGTTCGGTCGAATGAGAGCTCGAGATCGTAGACTCCACAATGTAGAGTGCGCTTCGAAGCTTACACGCGTCAGCACTCGGGCGGGCGGTTGCTCTTCGCAGCCGAACAAAGGCAATAACAATAACGCGCTCTCTGTCACCAGCATTTCGCCTAACACTGTGACGCAGAAATGGATAGAACAATTTGGAGAGATTCCAACTATACGATACCCTGCCATAAGAATTCCCGTTAATATATACACACACACAGGCTGCGGCTGCGCTCCTTCCGAGCATTATGCAAAATGAGTTCTTGAAAAACTTCGGTTATATATTTATTTTTAAATGCAAATCCTCCCTTCTAAATGGTTAAATTATTTTTAAAAAAATATTATAAAAACTTTTTGCCTTTTTTACCCAATAGGGTCAATAGGTACAGGTCTACCCTGTATAGACGATACATGGGACTCAGTTAGGAAGAGCTTCTAACTTGATCCAGGTCAAAATTTCTGTGAATTATGCATATGGCCCAGCACAGGTTGGTCGGTCGTGATTGAGGGATTTTAAAAAATAGCAAAACATACTTTTAGGCAGAGGTGGGCTTTTAACATTATGCTGGCTTTGCGGACCAGAAAATATACATTCCAAAATAACGTTGTATGTTTAGTTTGCCAAATTCAACAAAACAATACAATTGAACTATTGTTACTATATATAAAAATGGTGCAAAATGAATCATACTGTTTTCTAGTGTATCTGGTTGTTTGTGTTGGTAGACTTTGCTTTATAAAACATTTTGTGGGCAAAGATATTGTCTAAAATCAGAGACTGGCTAAACAAAGTCAAATGAACGCAGGCATTGTTTTAATTAATTAAATACAATTATTTTCAAGTGGAAGTTATAGTAGGCTGATCCTCCAAATGAAAATGAAATCGATTAAAAAGGTATAATATTTATGTGCAAATGTATTTAACAGTCAGATGCATTGAGTAATAAATATTATTCTCTCCGTTTATTACGCAATGAGTCAGATGAAAGCATTTATTGCGAAGTCGACTTGGAAATGTCCATCTCTCTTTTCTTATATCTGTCCTCGAAATTTAAATGAGAGTTAGATACATGCAATTTTGAACGTACCTTCCCAGGCCCCGTGAAGTACTTTTTTGCTTCCGATAATCGAGAACTTGGCCATTGCCTTTTTTTAGGCAATAGGCAAGAGAAGAAGGTTCACAGTCTACCCTAGTCGGGCACTCCCGATTAGAATACTCTTGTTTTATTATGCAAATTTAATTGTCATTACCGGAATATTCTAGCGGAAATTACGTGTGTAGTAAATAAAATGAAAAACCCTACGCTTAACTAAAAAATACCTACCCACATTGCAATCATATGAAAATTAGAAAAGTTGACTGGACAAACTTGTTCAAGAAATCTTTAAAAAAAAACCCAAAAGTTCTGTCTGTGACATTATTGACGCAATTATATTAAGTCCTATGAAATATGTAGACGCTGATCCCACAGGATATTTCAACAATTGATTCGTTTTTTTGTCAAAAGCTTTTATTTAAGCCGTTCTTAATGCGAACTGGATAGCGAAAGGATTACAACGATTTTAAAAAGGTATAAAACTACAAAATCAAACGATATTTACCCGAGATATTCGAAAAAAAATCATCAAAAAAGTTATGATTTTCGAACCGACCCCGTTTTAGTGAAAAACGTGATGTAACCCCTTGCATTTTTCTCAAATTTGGTCAAAAATGTAGATTTTCATGTTTTGAATGCCAATCGATAGTTCACATCGTTAAGCATCCAAATTGTTATATCATTCCAAAATCTGACATTATTATATCGGAGATATTCCAAAAAAACATCAATAAGTATTGACATTACAAACAATTTGTTTTTTGATCGAAAACTTAAAATGAATCCAACGATTTTTGATTTCTTTGCAAGGGTGAGTAAAAAAGACAAGTTCAAGACAAACGGACGGAGATAATTTGCTGCTCAGCATTAATAATTATCTGTCGGTTACAACTTAACAACTTTTAATCAGATTTAAATGATATATAATAAGTTTGGCTAGGTTTCAGCTGAAAATCCGGGTGTGCACTCAACAGGGGGATGTAATCTCGTAGACAAGACAGAAGTCAATATTTTCAGATAATAAATATTAACTGAAGGACTCGAATGCATGAATCTTGAATCATCCAATACCGAATAAAACCCACCCAGACAGATACGAAAAATGATAAGCAAAAACGGGTTTTTTCCATTACCGCACTTTTCCTGTCTTCCCAATTGCAAACGAGTTACTGTTCAAAGCTCAGCATTGGTTTCAGCTCGAAGCGTCGTAAGAGCCGAAGTTCATTAGCAGTCATTAACAACAACTCGGCAGAGTGTATTCACAAACGAAATCCATTTCACAAGTTAACTAATTGGAGATACTTCCCGAGAAGTGAGAGCCAGATTGAAAGCCGATCCAAAATTAATAAAGCTCATTCGGCGCTCCGATTGAATTAGGAACTGAATGTGCAACAATTGAATGATTGTCAATCTCTTTCGACACAAAACGCACTCAAATTTATACTCACTGTAGACGTGAAGTTTCATGTTATCGAGAGACCGCCGAATAATATTGAAAGTGCGTTAAGTGACCAGCCAGGAAATACCCTGCACCAAGCTCTCAGTTGCGGTATAATCGTACTTAATATTAGAATATAGACAAAACAGATATGAAAACAAATATATATTAAGATACTAGCGCGTTTCCCTGGCAAGTTTTGTGCTTCTAATTTTAGATATTTATATTTATTGATTTTTTAAATCCACACCTTGAGCTCTGCATAACACTAGCGAATATTCCGCGGCTTTGTGAAGCACGTGTCAAATAAATTTTCACAAAGATCTCTGAAAATGAGTTTGAAACCGATCGGATAATAAACAAATAAATTTCATACATCCGTTTTCTGGCGATTTACGACAGTTACTGGAAAATGGGTGGAATTGCCAAAATCACTTTGAGCACGTATTCATTTAGTTCCAATGTAGTAAGCAAATCGGATAAAAGTCCATCATCAAGGGGATCTAATTTTTCAGATATAATCCAAAGTTACATTGTAAACAAGGTGCTTCGCAATCGGTACTACCCGGCAGCTCCGACTTTTTTTACACAGGGCATACAGATTTGAGCAGTAAGCTACACCTAACTTATTTGTTTCTATGTTTTACATAAGTAAGTCATAGGTCAAAGTAATACAAACTTTAAACTTTGATATCAAGCAAAGGCAAATAGCATTCCCGCCGCGATCGCATAAATAAATTGTACTTAAAAACAACCCAAGGGAATTACGAAAATAACAATCGCATACTCCACACAATCCAAAGGCGAAAATTAGAAAGATAAACAAGTAAGAACAATGCTAAAAATAACTGCGCAAAACTCTGAACCCACAGTTTAAAGCCGACAAAAAAAAGTATTCTAAAAAGAGATACTTTCAAAATGTGACTGGCATTTTGCGATTTTTGGAGATGAGGATGGAAAAATTTGGTAACCCGAGCTGCAAAACTATGCGAGATATTCGTTAAGAGTAGTTTGTTTGATTCGGATCTAGACAGGTAAATTTAGTTATTTATATTCTGTTTGAACACAATTATAGAAACTACCCGAAACCAATACTCTTTTTTAATTCAAGAAGGGATATCATAATATAAATACATAACACAAAGCCAAATCAACTTAGTCACGCGAAGTGCATGTTTTAAAATTAATTGGACGTACTAATGTCGCAATAACAAAACTATATTGTCATTAAAAAAAGGTAAACTTTGGAACGACATTAAATATTCTGAATTTCAGCTAAGTTAAGGTTGAATTAAAGCATTAATAAATTCGAATATTCAAAATTTCTATTCCATTCATATTGTTTATTTTCATGTAACTTGTGGCTTATAAAATCAAATTTATATCATGCACCAATTAAAGGGTATACTGTCGCCGATAATATCTTTCAATTCTCGATCATGACAAGCTCAATTGATCTAATAATAATTTAAGGGAGCTTGAGATTTGAAATTTTCAATATACACTGAACACTGCATAAAGTAAATATATTCTTGACTGAGCAAAATCGTATCAATTTTAAAGATTTCTTTATTGTTCGTTTTTGCATGATTATTTATTTATTTTTTTTTTTCTTCTCTCGAAATTCTATCTTCATATATCTGCTTCTAGTTTTATTCTTATTTTTACAAAAAAAAAGGATCGATTTTAAGGTTATTCCAAAATGTCCAGGGTAACTTCTAGTCGATACGCCAGCACTCTTTGTTTTGTATGAGTTTGCAGTTTATTTTTGTTGTGCATATTTATTAAGCTATATGCGAACCAATTAAGCACTAAAAACGTGAATGAGAAATAATCTTAGTTCCCTCACTGGAAAATTACCCGCATCTTCATAATGAACAATAATCGTTTTTACTGTCAAAAAAAAAGAAAAAAATGGGAGAAACATGATATATAAGCGTATATATATTTATAAATACACATTCACAAAGGGAGACACCTTTCATTGTTTCACTATATCAAACTGCACATGAGATTTAATAATAAAAAAGCTCGCAGATAATGGAATAGACAATGAGAATTGATGTAATTCTCATTCGTAATTCGCTTAGTTCTGTCCGTAAAATGGGACTTTAATTGACAAATAAAAATAATAATAAAAAATTTTTGTTATTTAGGGAAATTTACTAGTAGTTTCGTATAAATAAGTCTGCTTTCAACATTTTTAAAATGAATTAATCGTTGTGCGAATTGAACGACTACAACACGAAAATTATTTAATATTAATTAAAATCCAATAAAATTAAATACGTGATATAGAACCTATTGAAAATGGGGAAAATGAATGTTTTTTTTAATTTATGTAACTATATATATGCTTGATCAGTATGACAAGCTGAGTATACAAAAGCTTGAAACTTGAAAACTAAAATATATACTCATATTTAACAATCGCCTAAAAAGCTTATCATTTTTATCGATATTTGCTCAAATATCAATAAAGTCTATTTTGAGACATGGTTTTTTTCAAAATTATGAGATTAAGATACACCAAAATTGATAAAGTTTCTGTTATAGTATACTCGAATCGAGTCCATCAACTCAGCGGCATAGTTTAGTGCCCAAACAGAAACACAACAAAAGAATGTCTCGATCAACAAGCCACGACATAAAAATATTTGATTGCCTCATTACAGTCAGCGTCCTAATTGGTAATATCAATAAAGTTCGACGCGTGTTTATCAAAAACTGTACAATCATCGAATAAATATTGCTACAAAAATGCAATAATGAGTGAAAGCAGCAGGAAAAATACTTCGTTCTTATATGTACTTATCAAATCCTTGAAATTCACTAAAAGATTTACTTGTGTACGTCAAAGCACTCAAAATTGTTGCGCGACTCGCAGCAAGTGCGACGAATAGGTCTATGTTGGAGCTATTGACTCAAAGTTGCACGAGCGAAACTCGATTGCACTCGCACTCGATCGCATGATCGCTTCGATCGCTTGCAAAAAAAAAAAAAAACAACAATAAAACACTTGTTTTCAAAACTGTCAAAGCCAAAATCGGGGCCAGTGCATGCTGGTCTGGTCTGGTCTGGTTTTAGTTGTAGTAGATATCAGCCATGAACGTCGAACGTGCAAACGGTTATTGACACCGTCGACCGTCGGCCGTCGGCTTGACCTGAATGTTTCAATAAACATTCTGAACGTAGTTTAGATACATGCAAGCAGACTTGCAAATCAAAAAAGTGGCTAAGAATTGAACTAGCTGCGACCAAGGCAAAGCTTGAAGTTGTTGTCCGTTGTGTGACCGATTTCATTCGGGGAGTTTTTATTAAAGTTAGACAATGATAATGATAAATGTAGCAAGAGTAGGCAAATTCAGAGGCATCTTTTCAGCAGTAAATCTTATTGATCCGGCTATTGATGCTGATCAAAAATATATATATTCTTTATGGGTTCGGAGATGTTTCCTTTCGCCTGTTACATACATTTGCACAAACCCATTATACCCTCTTTACCCCTTTTCTATGGTTTCAAGGTATAAATATAAATAAACCTCTATATCTACAACTGAGGAGTGCTTCACAAAAAATTCATTTTCAAAGTTCTTTATGTAAAATTTTTTGAGATGTGGTTTACACTTTTTGCATAAACTGAGCTTACTCTGTGGTAAATACGACTCAAGAAGTTTTCGAGCGAAGTTTAAAGTTTTGTTCAATTGGCTTCAAGTTTGTTGACAAAAAAAAAATGTTGCATTAAAGTCAGGCCCAGGCAACACTTCGACCTATCGTTCCCATGACTGCTATAAGAAATACTAGTTCGATTATATATGTACTGCCTGCTACATAAAGACGGACCTGGACCTATACAAAGTTTCAAGACGATACAAACAGACAGACAGACGGAAATGGCTATATAAACTCGGCTGTTGATGCTGATCAAGAATATACATATATACTTGATGGGCTCAGAGACGTATCCTTCTCTGCATTATATGACAAAATTATAAAACTCTTAACAGGGATATTAAAATATTTAATATAAATATTTGAAATATTTAAAAGTTTAGCATACCTTTAGCTCAGCTAAAGTAAAACTACTTGCCTTGTCATTATAAGAATATACCTCTAACTTTTCTTAACCTTATCGAGCACAGAGAGTTGGGTATATCCCCGAGAGTTATGCGTAAGATTAATTTCTTTTCAAACATTTAACAATGCGTATTTGTCAGCTATAAAACTGAACAGCTTTCAAAAGATATGAGAACCAACTGAAACGTGGTCAGCACTCGCAGAAAATGTTCTCTCCTAAGTATAACATGTAAGTAAGTTCCCTAGATGTTAGTTCCCACATGGCATTTCTTGCAGTTAATAAATGCAAAAATGCTATTGTGCCTGAACCTTGAGAATATATATCCCCAGTTCCACCTTATTGTTTTTAAATCAATTACGGGGCTCACACACAAATGTATCTGTAGGAATGAGTCATGCAAAAAATTAACTGAATGATTCAAGTCGATTTACATTGAAATTACTTCCTTGAATGAATGATTGAATAAGTGAATGCTCGTTGCCTGCTGCAAATTAGATTTAAAGCAAAATGTTTTTAGAGTGATTAAACTCTTTTTATCAGTGTGACTAGCAGCAGTCCTAGGCTGGTTGATTGCCTCTCAGTGTATATATGTACATATGTATAAGAAGTCAGTTTGAAGGCTAACTCACCAGAAATTGAGCGATTGGCTCAAACCTTATCAAAACTAAATGTCTCTTGCGCTTGCTTCGATCATTTCCGATATGTTGTTGCTATAATCGTTGTTTTCAACAGTCCGCTAACAAGTTTTATCAATATATATATATATAAATATATATTTGATCAATTTGATATATAAAGTTGCAATATGTATATTGATTGTTTGGCTTATTACATTTTGATCCAACGACTTCTCTTTATGAACACACACAAACCCAATTGGCATACTTAATTCTTTCAGAGTGTACATACATACATATGTACATATGTATGTGCATACAGCTTACGGTTCTAAAAATAACTGCATTTGTTTTTTTGTCTATTCGCGTGTTATTAGCAACTTTTATTTCCAAGACACATGACAGCGCGCAGTCCACAAAATCGCACATATCAAATTTAATTCACATTTGATTTGAAATTATAATTGTGAATTGTTCACATACAAGCAGGCATTTGTAATAAGTAAATAACATATATTCCAAATGCAAACACAAGCTGGGTAAGTGTAAGTGATTCGCAGAATTCGAGAGACGCACTTAATGCCCGAAACCGGAACAAAAGCTCGAGAATAATCGCGATATCTGCGCATGCGCGCATAAGTCAGACCTCGTCAGACAAAAAGGCAATCTGTTGAAAAATAACATTTACTTCAGGTGCGTCTCTTTAAGCTAGGAAGCCGAACGCCTCAGGGTCAACAACGTGTATCTAGGTAGATATTGGTTCTTGTGTGGTTGTATTTTAATTTGATGGGAGTTGTCAATTACAGGTTTAATTTTTTCGTCGAATCGAACTGTAATCGCATACGCTGTCCGTTTAATTTAAGCATTTATAAGCTCCATGATCCACAAAACACGCACTTTAACGCTTTTAGCTTTCGCCACACGCATTTTTTTATTTTGTTACTTTTATTACCATTGTTTGTATTCACTTACGCAGTGCACTCCAAGAACAACAATCGAACAAAATACTACGAAACAAGAACGAGAAAAGCTCCGCGCACGTTTGTCAGCTTCAACTTTCGTCGGTTTACTGAACGCGATACAACGACGACTGAAACAACTTTATCATCAATGATTCGACTCAGGTTTGATCAAGTCAGTAATGGCATAAGTATATGTGTATATAATCTCATATCGCGCACATGATAAAAGAGTAATAATTTTTATGTAACTATTGAAATACATTTTAAAATGATTTGTTTACTATTATTATTATACATTGTATGAATGCCTTAATTCCATGTTCGTTTTGAGTTTCTGTCTATTTAATAACATAAGTCCAATGTATACCAGACATTCAAATAACCGCGATCAGAAATGTTATATCCGTGCTGTTCTGTGCACTGCAAAAAATGCAAGGTGAATTGAAGCAATGAGTTTCGATAACTAAATGTGCAAACAAACTATGGCTTGAATATCCCATTAATAATAATTTAATATTTTGTTTTACTAAACTCTCGAATCCATTCTGGACACTTTAATTAAATTTAATGTCAATGAATTTTCGAAAAACTATCGATAACGATTATTAATAGAAAGTCGGCTCGCTACAAGCTGAGCGACAGATGACTGTGAAATACCCGTTTTGATTGTTGAATAAATCTAAATTTTATTTAATATATTTTAAATACCGTTTACCCAGTGAGATTGTAACATTATTACATGCTTCAAATTTAAGTTTAACATCGTTGGTGAAAATGGTTACATTTATTTATCGATAAGTATTGAAAGAAAATATCGAGTTAGTAACAGCTCCATGCGAGCATAACAGTGTCGAATTGAGCATCAATCGCCTCACGCAAATCGAGAGAAATAACATTGAGACGAGAGAAGAAACAAGCGAAAAACACATCACTACGGTCGACCTATTTTCAGGTGGTAGCAGAAAAAAGGCAATATTTTGCGGAAAACGAACGATTGTCCTACTGCAAATACGCACATACACTTTGTTAAACTGCATCAGAATTGTCATTACATGATAAGCAAATGTGTGCAAAATGAAAGTAACAATCAAGTCATGGACGGGAGTTGCATCTTGGCGTTGGATAGCAAATGATGAGAATTGTGGCATTTGTCGCATGTCCTTTGAGAGCACCTGCCCCGAGTGTGCGCTACCCGGTGACGACTGCCCCCTAGTGTGGGGTGTTTGCTCCCATTGCTTTCACATGCATTGCATTGTCAAGTGGCTAAACTTGCAACAATTAAACAAACAGTGCCCGATGTGCCGCCAAAGTTGGAAATTCAATATACACTAAAGGTTACGAAGGTACGAAAAGAAACAACAACAACAGCAACAAAAACAACGATATTGAGAATTGGAGCTAAATTAACGGCAAGCAGAAATCAACGCAAACCATCAATAACATTTTTAAAGTACATCAATTGAATATTATCGATTTCCTAAAATGATGGGCAACAGTGAACAACAACAACGTCAGCTGCAACAGCAATACACATTAACTGGTCTGCCACCACTGCCAAAAAGTCTGAGCGCCGCTGCCGCTGCCACTGCTATGGGACCGGAGCTGGCGAGTGGAAGCGCACTGGGACAGGGTCAGGCGCAGGTGCGCTCTCACACATCCTCACCGCAGCAACTGCAGGCGACCTCGTCCGTTGCCGCTTTGACTGCTGCGACGGGTGATCTGTACCTGGGGCCATCGACGTCCTCGGCTGCAGCAACGCGAAATCGCAACTATAACGGTCATGGACGACATGGCAGCTTGTCCTCGACACAAGAGTCGCTAAGTGATCGCGAGAGCGTACATAGTCGGGCCTCGTCCACACACAGCGCGGGCGGGAGCGCAGCACAACACCATCAGCCGCTATCCAATAGCAGCAATAACGCGTCAAGCACCATCGACAACCAGCTGGCTATACTGCGCCGCGAAATGTACGGCTTACGGCAGCTGGACTTGTCGCTGCTGTCACAGCTGTGGGCGCTTAACGAGTCCATTCAGGGCTTTCGGGTGTTTCTTCAGGAGCAAGAGGCCCTTTCGCCGCCATCTCGTTCGCGCACGCCATCCGATGCCAACTCACTGTCATCCGATGAGGATGATGGGTCCTATGCACCAGTTGCAGCACCGAAGCGAAATCCACAGCCGGCAACTATCGCCGCACTCTCTTCACCAGCGACTGGTAATTTGCCCACGAAGTTGGCTACGGGTTCAACCACATCGCATGCATCGACCAGCTCGACATCTGGAGCATCTGGCTCGTCTTCGGCAGCGTCCTCCATGGGCAAGCACCATCATCACCAGCAGCAGCAGCAGCATCAGATTCCTCATTATCATCGATCAGCTGCTCCACCAGCGCCACCGACTCAGCACAAGGCGCATCCGCAGTTGCCGCGTATACTGCAGCAACGGATGCGGCACGCGCCGCCTCCGCCACCGCCTACGCGACCCAAGGGTGGCGGCGCGAGCAGCAGCAGCAGCAACCATAGTATTAGCAGTGTCACGCAGCAGCAGCAGCAGCTGCTACATCAAAACTTACAGCATCAGAGGCCCCTATGACAAAACCCATTCTTGGACTAAGTATGCTGAACGCGTATTTGGTTCGAGAGCGATCTATCGAAAATAGATACCATAACGTAAAGTAACAACAGAGCAACATTTCTGAAAAGTCAATTGCACATTTATCCAGGAGTCAATTAACATAGCAACACCTAAGGGCAGCTGAGGGCGACTTGTGATCTTTACTGATGGCTCTGCTCGACACAAACATCCAAGCTTGCCATACGTTCCATTTCGTTCTGGATTTTACGAAATCGATGTTAGAAAAAAACATCCACCAACTTTGAATGGTTACATTTTTGAATAGGAAATTGTATTCAATAATAATAATCTTCAAATAGTCTGGGATAAAATCCTTTGATAAGAACTACGTAAATTGCATATTTATACATATTTATAATCTATTTGTATATTACCCGTAAACATAAATCTTAATTGCTGCTTTGAAATAGAAACTGCATCGAACGAATAATACGAAATCAATCTTGTGGCAGAAGTCTTGGATTTAAAATGTTTACACAACATTTGCAATGATAGCAAAAAAACATAACAATTTATTAAATTAACTATTGTGCTAATTGGACATATTATTAAATGAAAAACTGTATAACAAAGCATACTCACTCATTAGATTTAACCAAATCAGAACTCGTGGTCTAGAACATTAAATCTATCCATTTATATGTATATTATTTTGTTATTTTCCAGTGATAATTGAGCCGATTCCTAACTAATCGTAGTTATTGAAAACAATGTTGTTAACCTTCACATAGAAACACTCGATCCTCCATGTCGTTTATGCGATTCAACTTTGGCATTAGCAAATCTAAAGTAAAGAGCTACAAACTAACACATTTATTTCATACAACTTAGATTCATCAACATTTCAAAATATGTACACGCTATATTAAGGCATTAGTATTTATTATTATGCCTCAATGTTTGTCAAACCAATTGGTAATCACATACTCATCCTCAATTCTTACCGTTCGTCTGACTGTCCTCTTGTCAGCTTTAGAGAATAAATCAAATTAGGGCATATCTAAAAAAACGCCAGCTGATCTTAGTCCACATGCTTATCACATAGGTGCTTCTAAGAATAAAGATAAAACATAAACTAGCATACTGGGAAACGATTGATATAGTAAACAGAAAAACACCAAAAAGAATTAACTTTCTCAAGAATCAAAAAAACGCAGTAATGCGTACACTTTTACTATATATATATATATATATTGGACTGTTCTGCATTGTTAAATGGACAGTTTAAAGCAGAGCACTGCCGAAAGATGACTGCATAAGCAAAACAATTTTCATGTATATATATGTTAAAAAAAACCTGACTTAAAACCAACGACACTTCCTCATTTTAAAGAGAATGATCAAAATGTGTCAGAAATAAGTGCGCAGGGCACACAATATATAGAAATGTTTGCAAGGCCTAAAATTGATTGATTAATTTATCGCGCTTATTATATCTTGTTGTAATGGTAAAGAACGTAATGCGTGCTCACACGAATCAAAACGTTTCTTAATGTGCACTTTAATTAATAATTATATGAATGAATTCAAACATTTTTTGGAGAGCAACTTAGTTCACATAAGCCAAATATTAATGATATATTTGCAGTCTTACGAACTAGAGTTATTTTCAAGATTTATTAAATTCAAATACCTGTACTTGTCGAAACGTTATTATGTTGTATTCAAAGAATTCAATCAAAATATCAAATAATGAAAACTGCGCCAATGCATCAGCCTACTAATATCATTATCTAACGGGTTTTAATATTCATGAGCAACTATCAACTATTAAATGCTCTAATATGTACACAAAGCATTTTTTTTAAATCTTATATCAATGTTCGAGTATACAGACTTCAGAAAAGCTTAAGGGAATGGCGACGACGAGGCGAGTGAACGAAATTTTAGGAAGCAATTTGTTGCTATTCAATTGAAGATTTTGTACAAACCCTGGGAATGATAAATATCGTTAAAATGTAATATGTAATGGAAATAATTAAAGAACAAACGAATTAAAAATCATAACAATAAATATTTGCTAAACTATTCAATGATTATACTAACTTAACTGCTAGCAATTTATACATAAATTCTTGAGGTGTTGGCAAATAGCCGAAAGAGGATCGTTACCAAAAACGGCTCGACCGAATTGGCCAATATATATTTTGTTGCATTTGTAATTGACGTAGCATGGTTTGTATGGGAATATTGTATAGAATTGATGTTAAAAAGATATCTTTGCCTTTCGTTCAACTGTGGCATACGAGTTTTTTCTAAACATAATAAGATTATAGTTTTAGTTGATTTTTTATAAGTTATGTCCCGGCTTATATTTATTATTAAATAAAAAAATATATATATACATATATATATATATAAAATAGAACATTTTTTGGCGCTAAAAAATTGAAAAGAAATAAGTTAAGTACTAAATAGTCCACAGCAATTGGATGGGATTTCTGAAAATATTTGAAGAATCTGAATATTTGCGTGTTTCAGTAAGAAAAATGCGGAACTCACTATTTGTATTGTCCCAGCCCAAAGGCACGCCCAAGCGGCTGTTTTCCTGCTTGAGCCATTGATAAAGGGGATCAAAGTATTCGAGTAGTGCGGCCGGGTCCATTTCAGTCTCTCCAGTAAACTCTTCCAAAACTATTTTCCAATGCCTTGAATTTCCAGCTGATAGGAATTTTTTGAATGCTTGCCCCGCCTTTTTGCTGCCAAATATATCGCAGTTATCGAGAGTTCGCTGATTGTCGCCGGGCACATATTGTCCAGCTTGGCTACACAAGGCCTTATGGAACTGAAACTGGAATATATGCGCCGCAAAATAACGCAAGTACTCGACATCGGCATCAATATGATACTTTGCGGGCGGATCAAAGTCACTGTTGCTGCGAGCTATTGGCGGCTCAACGCCACTAAACTCGGAACGCATCTGCCAGAAGCCGCAGTTCCACTGAGATTCATCAAGTTCGCCGCGAAACACAGCATAACGATACTTGTCCATGGTATAGCCAAAAGGCAGGAAAACAATCTTCGATAGAGCTTGCTTAAAAAGCTCGTTAATGCGGCTTTTCTCATCTAGGCGTCCGCTGCGGGTGAGATTGATGCTCTTTAGGTGCTTGGCGGACATAGCCGATAGTGCTATGACATCGCCCACAGCCTCGTGAAATCCGGGATTGGGCGCCCCTCGAAAAACGGCTGGCTGTTGCTCATACTGCAAATAGTATTGAATATGACCCAGTTCATGATGCACAACGTACAGATAATGTGTGTTTAGCTCGGTGCACATCTTGATGCGAACATCGCTGTCTTGATAAAAGTCCCACGCAGAGGCATGGCACACGACTTCGCGATCTGTGGGTCGTGCTAGCACACTTAAGTTCCAGAAGCTTGCCGGCAGAGCCCGCATACCCAGCGACTGGAAAAACTGATCACCTAGTTCAAACAGTTTCCGGATGCTGTATCCTTGTTGCTCCATTTCCGACTTGACGTCCACAAAAGGTTTTTCCGGATACGGTGTGTATAAATCGATGACGTCGTTCCACGACTGTGCCCACATATTGCCCAACAGATGCATCGGTATATTGCCCTCAGCAGGCACCACCTCAGGTCCGTAATGCTGGCGTAGGCGGTACCTAACGTAACCGTGTATTTGTCTATAGAACGGCAGCAGTGCTTTGTAGGTGGCATCCAGCTGTCTCTCAAAGTCCGCATCTTCGTAGAAGTGTACCCAGTAATCGGCATAGGAGCGATAGTCTAGAAAAATGTCGTTTATTTTTTTAGAGATCACGGGGTTATCTTGTTAGCTGAGAGAGAGAATCACATACCATTTAGATGCGCTGCCTTGCGTGTGAGGCGCACATACTTTTCAAAGTTTTCGCGCATAGGCGTGCCAGCCTTGTCGTACCACTCGCGCCAATACCACGCGAGCTCCGCGGGATCGCGACTGTTTGCCAGACGCTCTTGTATGTGTGGCTCCAGCGTCAGCGAGCAGTCGGTCCGATTCGTGTAGGAGCAAACACTGGCGGTGGCATAGTTGGACTGCATGGAGCTAATTGCATTCTTTAGGTCGAGATAGTCGCTAGGGTCGAGTGCATCCGCCCCCAGATCCTGTAACATTCGCGCCTGCCGTCGTATATTCGCATCAGCCGATTTGGCATAATCGCCCGCTCGAACAGCCTGCGCCAACAGTTTGTTCTGGCCCGCACTCTCCGCGTACACCGCTATCATGGCGCGGCGATTTTCTTCGGTCACGTTCGTGTTGTATGTATAGGCGGCTGAGTACTCGGCATGGTAGCGTTCACGCAACTTTGAATTCTCCAGTTCAAAGAAGCGTTGAGCCTCCAGCACGGATGCGGGGCAACTATTTTCATCGGCAGTTCCATAAGGCAGCTGAACGCGATAGAATCGTGGAAAATATGCATTTAGTCGGTGAAATAATTAGCCTGGTTAGCTGCTAATATACTAACCCACAACGCAAAGGCGAAGGCAATCCAAAAACACAGATTTGACCCGTTCATAACGTCCAGTTTAATGAGATCTCCTTTATCAGTAGCCGCCGAGCAGTAGCTGCCGTCGCTGTTTTTTAAACTTTCAATTTAGTCAATGTCCCAATTCTCAAATTTTCCTCTCCAGCACTATCAAAAACTATAAGTACACTTTTACTCTTTTCTGTGCTATTTAGTAATTGCTTATGTCTAGCTCCTTCCTCCAGTTTGCAGCTGGGCTGATGCCATTTGACTTCTGGACACCCGCCAACAAGCAGAGCTGCTTTTATGCATGCTCCGATACTCAGTCACACTCACACATACACACATACACTGAACTAATCTAATCTTCTGTCAGAATTAAACGTCTTGAACACATGCAATGCATTTCACCATATATCTACATGCATATGCATATTTATACATACATATGTATATATTATGGGAATGTTTGCCTTATCATTTGTTAAGAGTGAGTGGGTAGGGCTAATGGGTTTCATATTTTATTTTTATGTATTGAAGTAGTTGCTCGCAGAACGGTTTTAAATTACATTTATGTGCATGTTGGAATAAGCATGTAATTTTATAATTGATAATATTTTAGTGTTTTTAATGCATGTGCTCGCTGCAAACTCACATGTACCTCTGCGTTAAAATAATATTTTGATTTATAGGATCACGTTTTGAATACTTAAAATCTTATCTTCCAACATGAATTTCAAAATGAAAAAAGTGAAATATTACTAATCTAGGTTACATATACATAGAAGAGTTGTGAGTTATGCCTAAAAAACATGTCAAAATCTATTCTTATCGATATTTCTGAAATACGAAAATATTGAGAAATCAAAATCCATTTTGAAATTTCAAGTCTCCAGCTTTTGTAGTTTTCATACAGATGGACATGGCCTAATCGATTCGTCCTGATATAGAATATATACATATACAATATAAATGGGAGATGCCGCTTCTGCCTTTTTCAAAGGGTACAGGGTATAAAAAGCATGTTATTCAAGTTATTTTCTAAATTTTAAAATTCTCATATTTAAATGTATGATTGTAAATTGTGGAAATAGATCAACGCCTTTTTAACAAAGTTGCCCCCTGTTATTTTATTAGTCAACCTATTTACAATATAAAATAACTGTTAGGCTAAAGAAAAGTGAAGAAATGCAAACTAATCTATATATACCGAGGTATAAAAATCTACATTATGGTTTATTCTCTATCCCAGCAGAGTTTCAGTATTGTGCGACTCAATATAAATGAAGTAACATTGTAAAAATATGTCAATTGGGATAAGGATTGGATAAACATTTATTTGCACTAATAAATTGGAAAGCTCTGGTCAACTTGGTTTGTCCAGGCATGCAGACCGCCTTCCAAGTCTCGTATCGAATGGTCGGGAAAGCGAGTTCGCATGTGCTGCACAGCAATCTGTGAGTCATTGCCCCGCCGGCATACCACTAATATGGGAAACTCTTTGCTCTCCAATTGCTGGGCAAATCGTTGAAGATAGCTGTCATCCAGCACGTGCGCCAAAGGCACGTTAACTGAGTCGGGCAGCTGACAGATTTCAAACTCGGCTGGCGCACGCACATCCAGCAGTAAATGCGCCGTGGTGGTCTGCATCAACTTTTGGTAGTCCAGCACGTTTATGCGCTGTTCTGGCTCTAGCAGCTTCACCGAATGGTCCTTGTCATTTGCACTCATGCCGCAGAAGAGCTCGTAGTCAATCAGTCCGGTGATGAGCGGCTGGGCAGAACAGACGTGACAGTTTGGCCGCTTGCTGCGTATTTTAATGTTGCGGAACTGGCAGCTGCTGCCGTCGAAAATGAGCATACGTCCGGCCAATACGTCTCCCAATCCGACTATTATCTTAATAGCTTCCAGTGCCTGCATGGCACCTATTGTGCCGGTAACAGCCCCCAATACGCCCCCGTCGCCGCAATTGGTTACTGCCTCTGGCGGCGGGGGCACCGGATAAATGCAGCGGTAGCAAGGTCCCTGGGCGCCATAGGAGTACACTGTCAGCTGTCCATCCAGTTTCAGTGCACTGCCCGAGACCAAGGGCTTGCGCAGCATCGTACAGGCATCGTTCAGCAGATAACGCGTGGCCACGTTGTCGCTACAGTCCAGCACAATGTCATAGGCACGTATAATTTGCATTGCGTTCAAACTGTTCAGCAGGCGTGTGTAGCATGTTATTCGGCAATGTGGATTCAGTTCTAGCAATGCGATTCGCGCCGATTCCGCTTTCGACAATCCACAGCGTGCCACCGTGTGCAGTGTCTGGCGGTGTAGATTGCTTTGCTCCACCTCGTCATAGTCCACCAGTCCTAAATTTCCACAGCCTGCACTACAAAGATATTGCGCCGCCGGGCAGCCTAATCCACCTAAGCCAACAATTAGCACCGCGCTGTTCTTAAGCTTAAGCTGACCGCTTACGCCAAAATCAGATAATATGAGCTGTCGACTATATCGCGCAATGTCATCGTTGTTAAGTGTTTCGTATTGCTCCCTTGTTGCGGGTTGCAGATCCCCTTCGGGGTCCAAGGGTGATGCTGCTGTTCTTGACTGAAGTTCGCGTAGGTTCTGCTCTTTTGCATTCAATGCAGCCTGCAGCTCGGCAATCTCTCGTCGTAGTTTTGCCTTTTCTGTTTCTAAAGATTTGGCGGCGGCGGCAATCATTGGTACGTGCAAATATGCATTCGATTTGTAAAGGAAAAATAAGCAAGTACTTGTTTACTCACTGCAGCGATATATGCAGCGTTGCCAGGCCGGACAAAAGATATGCGATAGTATCGTCGAGAGCATGTGTTCATTTCGAGCCTAAACAGCTGTTGGAGCTGTTACCGTTGCCTGTCGTCTTAGGAGTTGACTGTTTATAATTACCTAATCGTAAATTATAATCAAAACTGATGTCTTGGCTGATCAGCGGGTTACAAAAACTGTGTAGCGTAGGACCTCTCGCTAGTAAACCACAGCCTTTGGCACTGACTTGTTACAAAACAGTGCGTCAGCTTTCGCATGCCGAGAAACGGGCGCGCGGCCGCACGGTGCGTCGCTATGGCTACAAAGAGAAGCTGTTCCAGAGTGGTCTGCTACCGCATTTGGATAATGGACAGAAGCTGCCCTTACCCGTGTATAGGCCCAAAAATCCGTGGTCTGAAAAGCGGGCGCTTTTCGGCCAAAATGACTTTATAGACATATTGGGCAACGACCGGCTTCATCCCACACGTGTGCTATACTCGGTGCCTTCCTGGTTGCGCGGCGTCTCGGGCAATGAATACCAAGTGCTGTTGCGCAAGCGTCGAATGCTGGAGAAGACCAAGTACCCGATTGCCCGGCCTACCAAGTGGAAAGATTTGCAGAAGCGCATTTTGTATTTATACAGATTCCTCAATCGAAAGACAAAAACCGGATACTCTACGCAATAATCTTACAAATTAATAATCCTGATACATCGTATATGTTGAATAAAGTCGTTCTTTTTATTTGAGCATCCCTATTCAATTTATTCTAGTAGTATTCGCGCCTCTTCCCCATCAATCATGATCTTCTGGCCATTATAAAGGCAGAACTCCCGCTTCACGTGCGCAAAAAGCAAATCTGTAATTAGAAATATTTGACCTGTGCAGAAAGCGAGGGTGGCTCCAAAGTAAAAGTTCGCGTTTGCGGAGCCGGCGTAGATCCACAAATGCCACAGAGCGCCCATCATGGACAACGTTATGAGGAAGAAAGTAAACACCACAAAACCATGCGCCATGACTACAAGACAACACAATAACATTATTAGCTTGACATAAGTTGCGATTCTTTGACTGTTACTTACACTTCCAGCAGCGGCGCCAGAGTGGCAATAAAGCTAAATAGAAACCCACGTCACCTAGGCTAGGATATGCTCGAAAAACTGCCATTAGCGAAACCAGGACGGTAGCCAACAGAAGCGGTTCCTTGCGCAGCTTTATTGACAGAGGCACCAGGTACAAAACTGTGGCATTTAGCTGAAATGTAATAAGAAACATGGTGCGAAAGTGTTCGAACATTTCGGTGAAAAAGTACCAAAACAGTCCAATATTGGGTTGCAGATCGCGAAAGTAGAAGCTGAAATTAACAATTAAGACATGCATTAACTGAATCAAATTCAAAACTGCGAGCACATACATAAAACCGAGTGTTCCATCTAAGAAATTCCAGCTATTCATAACAAGGTAGTTTGCACCAGCCACAGCCAAACAGCAAGTCGCAAAAAGCAAGAATATAACGATGCCCAGGCCGACAGAACGACGTGCAAAGAGTAATAGCAACGGCGCGATAAGTACAACTGGATAGAGACTACGGACGGTCTCGAACGCGAGCAGAGCGACGCATACGAAAAGCTGGCGCTTGATCATTCCATATAGAAACATCGCCAATAACAAATTACTGAGTACAGTAGAGGTCAGTCCAATACAGCTCAGTATTGTCAATGGATTGAATAAATAGGCCACCAAGACTAGCTCCGATATGACGTATTTGTCATTCACACTGTACTGGAGTTCCTCTGTATCCTTGGCGTAGTCCTTGCGCTCCAAACGTTGCTGTTGCAGTTTTTGCCCAACAAACGTACGGCTCATCAAATACAGCAATGCGGCAGTACATAAGTCGAGCAGTATATAGAGCAGTGGAAGCCATTGGGCGTAATGTATTAAAATGCCGGATAGTGCTTTAAGCAGCAACGGTGTCTCATGCACAAGATCTCCTCGATATGGGTCGACACCTTGTTGTAGCAGAAATACTCCCTCTTGCACTGCAAATTAAATATAACATGAGTAAGAATGCCTTAAAATATTTTGGTTTAACTGAATACTTACTGCGCTTGAATGAGTTTAAAGGAGTGGCAAATTCCACACGATGGCCGATAAGCGACGCCAAAGAAGTGCTACTGAAATACAAGCGCACGGCACCGCCGACTAAAAGTAGTTTGTAGCACTTGGAGTCCATGGCTGCAAGCTAATTGAGATTGACAGCTATAGTTCGCTATTCAGGCTACAATCATTATTTTATAACTGCTCCAGTGTCAGAGGACGGCCTTTTAAAAAAACATATGTGACTGTTGCAAGAGGCCCCCGATATATTTTTCTTATCGATAGGGGGCAGTACACTACCGATAGACAGTGAAAGTATGACAAGCAATTACTAAGTATCGATAGAGGCGAAAAAACAGAGAACTAATTCAAAATTTATTAAAAATCAAGTCACTTATAGATATAAATAAAAATGTCACATGTTCAACTAATAACAATTTTTAATGACTATTGTAATAAACATTGAGTTGGTAAAGTGTTATAAGACCTGCCGAATTTACAATTTTTGAATTTTGCAGTTTTTTTGCTACAATCTACCTTTATTATTATAGCAACTTTTTTTAAATAACGCAGAAAGTTGTCGAAAAATTAAATTTAAGATCTTGATCTAGAAGTGTATTTTTAAAATATTTTGTTTTAATTAACATTTTCGAAATATTTCTAATGATTTGTTTTCTAGTTCCGTTGAAGATCTGAGTTCAATCGTTCATATTCTGGTGAACGAACAAATTGTTCATTTAGTTCATGACGTTTTGTTCATTTTGGAATTTCAAGTTATATTGTTGCACATTTTGTCTGATATTTGTTTAAAAAGTTGTTAAAGTTGACAATGGGAACGGAAGGGAATGTTGGGTCAAAGAAGAAATCCAAGAGAGATACTTTTAAGGAATTGGCAGAAAACTTTGAGCAGTTGCTTAAACACCCGGATCGATATCTAAAGTTAGTTTATGTTGTTTCAACTGTGCACGTGTTGCTAAAACGAATCTTTTTTTTCCTTGTAGGCCCCAGCCGGAGTCTATTGAGGCCATATATCAGCTAATACAGCAAACATATAGCGTGTGCATTAAAAGCCATGTGGATAGTGACCAAGACTTCCCGTCTAAGCTTGTTTTGGAAGATATGGACGATGAACAAATCTGGCAACAGCTTGAAATGCGGAATAACTTTGTGCTGGGACGACTATCAAAACAAACTGCCCAGCTTATAGACATTGGGGAGCAGCAGTTGGGCATCGAGCTCGACGATGATGAGGATCCGAATGAGCAGACAAGTGAGCAAGAGAGCATGGAGGAGAAAGCCGAAGATGAGGAGGATCAATCAGAGTTGGAGGACTCTGATAATATTGACAAACAGAAGTCAACAGTAAAATCTAGCCAAATCAAGGCGAAGCGGTCCAAAAAGGGCAGAAATTCTGTGGTCGACGACACGTTCTTTAAGCTGGATGAAATGAAGCAGTTTTTGGAGCAGGAAGATGCTAAAGAGATGAGGAAGCACAAAAATAATAATCCGGTAGACGAAAGTGAGACCATTAATCATTTTGCAGAAGATTTTGGAGTCCTTGAGGATTCAGACGATGACGAGAATGGCGCTAATGCGAACTTTGGCGATTTCTTCGAAATGGATGACGAATTGCAGGAAAAGGCTCAGAAACTCAAAACAGCCACCGAAAAAGACTACTTTAATGAAAGCGAAAGCGAGCCTGACAAAGAAGACAATGAAGATATAGCGAGTGAAATCGACGAAGCCGACTTTGTGGCCCAAAGTGGTGTGCAACCTGCTAGTGATCCCGAGTCGGAATCCAACCACGAAAATAATGCCAGCTCCGAGGATGAGGCTGAGGAGCCTGCAATGGAGGCACAGTCGTCCAATGAAATGCGGGAGGCGCGTCTGCTGCAGCGCATACGAGACTATGAGGATGTGGTGCTTGGAGAGAAGCCGTGGCAGTATAAGGGAGAAGTGCAAGCAGGAAATCGACCACAGAACTCACTGCTTGAGGAGATACTCGAATTTGACTCGACGGCACGACCCTCAGCACCACTTACCGACGAGCAAAATCGCACCATCGAGGACATAATCAAGCAGCGGATACGCGACAAGGCCTGGGACGATGTGGAGCGCACAGTGCGACCGGTGCACACTCCACAGGAATACCGCAAGCAACTGGTGCTTGATCAGGAAAAGTCGAAGCAGTCGCTGGCCCAAATTTATGAGCAGCAATACCATCGTGAGCTGGACAAGTTGAATCCCAATCGTGATGAGGCTGATGGCGCGGCGCCGGAGCCAAAGGAGCATCAAGAAATTAAACGTGCAATGCGCTCACTATTCCTCAAGCTGGATGCACTTTCCAACTACCATTTCACACCTAAACCAGTAGCGCCCGAAGCAAAAATTGTAACTAACACGCCCGCCGTCCAGATGGAAGAGGTTGCCCCAGTGGCAGTCAGCGATGTCAAGCTTCTGGCTCCAGAGGAGGTTTTCCGTGGTCCTAAGCACACTCCGCTGGGCAAGACAGAGCGCACACGCACCGACAAAAACCGCGAACGTCGAAAGAAGAAGCAAAAGCAGCGCGCTATCAACACGACAATAGAACAGCGGGAACAGCAGCGCGCCAAGGAGGGCAAAGCACCTACGAAACGAGAAACAAACGCTAAGCTGCTTAAGACTATAACGAAAAGTCGCAACGTAAATAAGGTTGGTTGCTAGCACGCAATTTATAAACTATAATTTATATTTATATATTTAAATTCAAAATTGCAGATTACCGTCAGCAACGACCAGGGCGCACTGAAATCCTCAAAGGCCTTCTTTAATAAACTGCAGGACAAAACAACGTCCACGTTAGCTTCCACTGGGAGTAAACGACCCAAAAAGGCCACTTCCGAAGTCAATGCAAAAAAACTGAAATTGTAACCACAGAAATAACTTATAAATGATAATTATATATGTTATCAAAAGAAAAAATGCCTTTAGTTCTAGTTTTCATGACGTCAAAATAAGGCGCGAAGCATTCGTCACGTGCCAATAAATGCGTCGGATCCTAAGCTTTTGCAGCGACGCTGGGTTTCTAGCAAACTATAATTTGAGGCACCATGGGAGATGGCACGCGTCGAGCAGTCCACATTTTGTGGGCGTGTGTATTCCCAAGGACTTGGCTTGGGGCAATTAGGCACTTGTGTTATCGCAAAATTGGTATATTTTTAGTCGACCTTTAAAGTAATGGGCATTTGATAATCCTATTTAAAGCGTGCGAATGACGCACACACATTTTTTCACAGAATATGGCTTTAATATTGTGTATAGCATATTTTTTTAACAGAAGTACTTATATCAGTACATTGAAATATAAATAGTATTAGTACGATACAAATTTAAACGTACGTTTTGCAGCACTATAGCAATAATCGAAACTGTTTTAACGATATTTAGGAAAACGATAACGATTAGGCACGTTGTACGATAATTTCGTATTCTCGCACGTGTTGTCCAGCGCATTTTGTATTCAATTTTTACTGCAATTTAAAATCAGTCATGGTAAAAGTACAAAAGCCGCTGCCGAAATCTCTAAAGAAAAAAACGAAAGATGACGGTGTTTCTAAGGAAAAACAAAAAGTTACTAAAAGCAAACTTACATCAAAAGCAAAACAAGCTGCCTCAATTACAGTTGACGATAAAAACACGAAAACCATTCTTGAGAAAAAAACCGCAAAAGCAATTGAAGCCAAGCTCAAAGATGTAAAGTTGCCGCAAAAGTCAAAGCCAACCAAGAAGCCGTTGGTTTTGGCACCACCAGAATCACCGGTTGCTCCAAAAGTAGGCAAAAAGGCTGCGCCGGTGGCTGCCCCTAAAGCGACAAAATCACTTAAAACTAACAAGAACGAAAAGGAACCGATATTGAAATCTGTGGAGAAGCAGAAGCTGAAAACACAAGTGGCCATCAACAAGAAATCCGAAAAGCAAGATAATAAGTCTGCTACAGCAACTACAAGGAGTTCTAAGAAGCAGCCACCGTTGGCAAAAGAACCAAAAGTAGCAATAAAGAAACTCGGGGAAAGGAAAAAGGTTAAACAAGCTCCAAAAAAACTGTCGAAGGCTGCAAACAATAGAAATGTGAAAGAAACGGGAGCGAAAAAACAAATTGCCGTGAAAAAGAAGGCACAGAAAGTCAAGGAGCTAAACTATGAATTAAATCCCTTTGACGAGGATAAATTTTATGAAATTGTCAGCGAATCAAATGTGCAAAAGGTGTGCTCTGCGCTCATGAGCCAGGTGGCCGAGGAGGTGAAAAACCAAAAAGCAACACCCATTTTTAGCGACTACCGCTATATGCTACAGGTGTGCTGCTATAAGATACCCAGCTGCCCGAAGCGAGTAGCAAAGCTGGCGCTAAAGCACTCGCTAGTCGGAGCCGAGGATGACGTTGCTCTGATTGTGACCGACTTGCAGCGCGGAGCTCGCTGTGACTATGAGCCAACCGTGCAACACTATGAGGATTTGTTACGCGAGCATGGCGTCAAGCAGCGTTTGACGGTATTTCCGTTTAATCGTTTACGCAACGATATGGGCACCTTTGAGGCTAAGCGCAAGTTCCTCAATAGCTACGACTACTTACTCTGCGATGGGCGTTTATCCGGCCAGGCTAGCGCTTTCCTCGGCAATGTAAGTCACCTGTTACCTGTTACTTTTACTGGGCAGCTGCCTTAATCGAAATCCAATTTTATATGTAGGCTACTCAGAAGCCCCGGAATGTGCTGCACGCGGTCCGTCTGTCCAAAGGAGACCAGTTGTCAAAGGAGATTTCGCGCGCTCTCTGCCGAACTGCTTACAGACAGCTGCGGAAGGGTGATCTAACGGCCATACCAGTGGGCAATCATGAGCACAGCGGCCAACAGCTCACAGAGAACATTCTGTTCGTCATCCAGCAGCTGCAGCAACAGTACCCTGGCGGGCTGGCCAACATACGCTCGATGTATTTAAAGATTGACATTGTGGGAACATCGGCGCTGCCCTTATACATCAGCATGTGTGCTCCACCTGCGGACACGCCGTACGTAGTTGGTCCACGGGAGCAGCGGATGCTTAAGCTGAAGAAACAGGCCAATGAAGTGCTGACTAAATTCGCATTAACCAAGGACGTTGACTTCATCAAGTTAACTTCGGATCAGGTTAAGCGTAAGGCAGAAGTTCGCGAGAAGCGAAATGCTCTAAAAGCTGCGGATTCAAAGGAAGCGGTTATCGAGAACGAGAACGAGAACAGTGCCGAGGAGACCGAAGTGCCGCCAAAAAAAGTACGCAAAAATACGGCATTAAAAAAGGTCAAAGTAGATAACGGAGTCTGATGACCAAAATAAGGAATAAGAAAGGAAGATGATGATGCGGTTCCCTGCTCTTCATTTGTCTTAATTTTTTTTATTTTTGATGTACAATCTTGATAATATACTGTTTGTATAATTGGATGCGTTTTAAGTAATAAAAAATCAGTTGATATAAGGAGGCTGAATTTGGTTTAACTGTCGGTCAATACAACTAACAAACGTATAGGTTGTTGTTTTTTATTATATATTTTACATGCTGTAGCTGCATGCTGAAAATATAATTGCTTATAATTTTATTTGTCGGAATTCCTGCTAAAGCTGTATAAAGAAGTCTCCAGCACATCGAAAATTCTTGCATTGGAGCAGGGAATTGGATGGAAAGAAGAGGTTTAGAAGAGGGACAGTAAACAACATTAGTAGCCACGAGATCCTACCATATCAGAGATTCCGTTTGCACCTGATGGAAAACCCATCAATTAGTGCGCTAGATTTAATTTGCAAACGCGAATTGTACATATTTGCATAATATAGTCGTACGAGTGTAATTGTTCATGTTTATGTGGATTTCTACCCTAGAAAATTAGTTTATAAAAGTTGCATGAAATTTGTAAAAGAAAGACAATACTTTTTATATAATGTCCACAAAGTGAATATAATAATTACATTATATAATAAAAATGAAATATAAATAAAAATGTAAAAATAATATTTTTTTTTCCCGGATATCTGGACCATACTCTGCCTCTGCTAGTTTCACTGTGTTCTTTACATACATATATGCAAAATTTGATCAATTGGTCGAAAATTAAGTTCTTGTACGAACAACTGTTTTTTATATCAATATATTTTTACCAAGCCCGGCAATTATTATTTTCCCTTCGCTGCTTATACATTATGAAGTTCTCATTTTTTTTTATATTATATAGTTCTGTCGGTCAAAAAAGAAGTTTTTGCATGGCAAAAAAGTCTGTTGTCTAAGATATATTCTGACATATCTGCAAAGCCGTAAAGCAGCTGCTACAAGGGTATAAAATCTTCGGCATACCGAAGATAGTACATCTTTTCTGTTGCCTATTGAACAGATGCGTGGTATAAAAATTAATGTTTATTTTCATAGACAATCGGATATTGCCCGTACACTTAAGCTCGATAAAAAATCAGAATAATGTCCATTGTCGTTAGCACCATATGGGCAATATATGCATATAAGTCGATGTCCTGGAAATTTAAAGGACAACATAACACGAGCGTGCTTTAGCTTTTGCTTTGTGCTCCACAACATCAAAATATGCACATGCCACTATCGTCCATACACAGTATACACATAACGTATAAATTTACAAAATATGACAAGACTTTCGCCGCGGGCGTTCCGTGTCGTGGTAAAGTGAAATGCACTTCACTGCACTCTGCGATGACGGCAATTGGGTCCGTGATTTCCATAGGATTCGACTAAAGCGTCCATTAAATAAGTATGTCTAATACATAAATTAGCTTTTCCGACGCTATATTCCAAGTTCTGACGTCAAATGTTGCTTATTGCCAGACAAAAGTCTTTGAAGTTTTTGATGGATGGACCAATCCTCAAGCGCGTTGTGCTAATTCAAGGTCGAAAGGTCAACCTGCCATATTCATATGCACATTAAGATGAACAGATACATGCCAAAATCCACCTTAGACTTGCATAAGTCTTGTTACTTAATTAGCTTAATGCTCTTCCATAACGTGTTGCCCAACTTTGACAGTTGAACATATCTATGTACATATTTCGACACAAACATACAAATATAAGGATGTATGACACATGTGTGCGTGCATGCATGTATGTTCTATTAACTGACGAGGTGTTGGCCATGATAATACTCCAGGGATTTAAATCACGTCTATTTCAGTTTATGGACATTTGGCGCTGACCACGTTGTCGACGGCCGTAACAAAAACATTGTAAAGCTTTTATCAGTCGCAGCTTTCCAGCTTCCGTTGCTGCCATAAACAATTTTTGAACATCGAGTAAACACAAAACTCTACGACCAGCACGAAGTTCTTTTGGCAAAATATGTCATGGAAAAATATTTCAGAATAAATAAACAGAAGCCAAATTTAAAAGAAAAATAGAAGCCGGCAAAACATTAAAAGTAAGCTACGAAGAACGCTTTAGTCGAGTGTGCTCGACATTTAGGAGCCGTTTTGAATTCTTAAAATCATAAAATATAGTCCAAAATGTTTTTTTTTAAATTTATAAATGAATAATATACAAACTATCTGCTTCTTTTGCCTGTGTTTCTTTCTTGGAAATTAAATTTTGGATAACTTCAGTTTAAAACTAATCAAAATATTGACAAGATTTTGCCTATTTGTAAGGACAATAAATGCCGAGTTTGGTCAAGATAAGTTGATAAATAACAAGATTTTCATATATGTAAGTACTTATTTTTTGGCAGATCGTTCTTATGTCAGCTATGTTAAAAGATGCTCCGATCTGGCCAGTTCCGACAAAAGTCATTCAGTCAGGACAAACAATTTTATATATAGAGATATATGTATATATTTTATATATAAAACTGTTTGTCTTGACTGACGGACTGACTGACTGAATCAACCGTCAGAGCTTGGAAGCTGAAATTTTCACTGCAGTTACCTAATGTGATGAAGGTGCACGTAAAGGCGGTGTTTTGGCAATATATGTCCGGCTACATACATATATACATATGTACATACATATATACATACATACATACATACATACATACATACATACATACATACATACATATGTACATACATACATACATACATACATACATACATACATACATACATACATACATACATACATACATACATACATACATACATTCATTTATACATACACACATACATACATACATACATACATACATACATACATACATACATTCATACATACAAACATACATACATTCATACATTCATACATTCATACATACGTACGTACATACATACATACATACATACATACATACATAGATAGATACATACATACATACATACATACCATACATACATACATATATATATACATACCATACATACATACCATACATACCATACATACATACCATACATACGTACACACAAAAAACACAACAACAAAAAACCAAAAAAAACTACATAAAATAAACTACAAAAAAAACTACACTACTAGCTAAGCATGCAAAACTACAGAGCCTACTTGAATTCTTGAGAATCGAGGAGGAGGGCTCTTGGCAGAAATTCGTTTTATTTAAACTTGCAGCATAACGACTGATAAGCTTGTTCTCCGTTTGGTATTAGAAAACAAACATGCATGCATACATATATACATAAATGCATACTTACATGCATGCATACACTAACACACGCACGTCCACACACACACACACACGCTCACATACATACACACACATATATATAATACTTATATGCCTTAGTAGAAAATGCTTGTTTATGTATATATTTATATATATATATACATATATATGTAAATATATAATATTTAATATTAATATTTATATAAAGTCGTATTAGCTCACCATTGTTAGGCTGAAAGGTATATATATATACATATATAATAACTGCTTCACTTATTCATTGCGGTTCGCATGAGGTTGAAGTGAGTGTGCATATAAATTAAAAGAAATTTAAGATAATCTGAAAAAAAACAGTTATTCTCAAATTGAATGTGATACTGAGTACAAGGAAATTTATAATATATTTATGTCGACATGGAAAACATTGTGATTCGGTCTCACGGTCGGCAAGTATTAAATAATATGTTAATATTTTGTTATTATTGTTATTATTATATATATATATATAATGTTCTGACTGATTGACATATTGATGATCAAAGCACGCTCAGTACGAGCTGGTAAGCTCAAATTTTCACAGCAGACCTCAAACTCATTTTTAACTACCTTAAATTTTAATTAAGGGACTTTTTTACTTTCCGTAAAATCCATTGGCTCCAATTAATATCCCACAATCATTTGAGACGTGCTTTAAACCTTTTGCCGAATCCCCACTTCAAACTTACTTTTTTTAATATTCCATCCGCAAATTCCATCCATTGCGTAAATAATAATGTGTTCCATAAAAAGCTGTGTATAGCATCAGAGTCTACCAAAAGCGATTTATTAAACTCGAAAAGCCATGCTTTTGTGAAGACTTGCCTCTGCTCTTCAATGGGTACATTGAAAATCACATGTTCTAGGTCCATTATGGTCCATTAAGACGTTGCAGCTTCTCCAATATCTCTTCCACGATCGGCACAGGAAAATAATCTTTTAACTTTCTGTAGTCCTTACTGGCTTTATTTGAAGACGATCTGCTGCTCGTCGACTGGGTGAATGATGAGACGATCAGTCCGTCAGGAATTATCTCTAATGAAATTGGGATCTGCTTTGCTTCTTCAAGCTTCAATCAAAAATGTGTATACTTTTTGATAAAAGCATGTTCCAACAGAGCATAGTAATCGATCTGAGCACAAGGGACAATTAAATACTTCTGGTTCGTCTGCAACTTATTAGCAGTAAGTTCTGCTTTGAAGTATCCCGGACCAAAAGTTCCACGTTTCTTATGCTCCTCACAACTCTCTCTCTCTCTTTGATTATGCCCCAATCTAGACCTCAGTTCACGAGACAGTCAACTAAAATTTAACTTATCCGAACTTTTTTAATGCGACTGCGATCAGCGAATTTTATAAACATTATTGGATTTGTTAGGACAGTTACGTGAAAATTGAGTCTGTTTAACACTTCCTCTTGATTGTTCTTTTCGGACACGTTCAAAAGTTCATATGAATCGAACTCTTATTTCAAGGCCCTGTAGAATTTACAGTATTATATTGCATACTTGTCCGGGTATTTATGTGAGGACCATTTGCATTGTAGTTTAGATAGAACACAGGTTATGATCCAATGGATGCTATTTTTATTTATCGGAGATGTCTCCTTCTATGTGTTATAAAAATACACAAATACTAAATACGATAAATACGACTCCGATGTTGCCAAAATATTGTCCATATGGGATCTCGACACTCGTGAGTTTGTTTATTGAGAAACAAACAAATAACAAAATAATTTAAACCCAATTTTCTTACCTATTAAACCAGTGCAAGAGATAGTTCTTGATTAAAAGGAGATCATGAGTTGTTGCCTGCGTGATTTTTTGTTCTTTTATGAAGGATACGATTTTCGCTGCTTGACCTATTGTAGACTTGGCTAAACAATTTTAACATTGATAAATTTCATTGCATTACCCATGACCTTATGCACATAGATGTTTTTATAGCACCAGATAAGTAAAAGTTTATATCCATAATAAGTAGTGACTGTCTAGAATGAATTGATAGCCCCTCTCTTAATGGGATTAAGTATGAAATAACATGTACGGAATGGGTGTGTGGCCAAATATTAAACATATTGTACAATACTAATTAGATAAGGACGATAATTAGCTTGCCAAAGAATTAATAAGCCAAAACCATTTTGGCATCTATAGTGCCTGGGATTTATATTGGATTTCGGTTGACGGCTGCCAAATATGCGACTAATTGAAAATAATCTGCTGCTGATTAGATGGTTAGCTGATAAGATCGCGTGACAAATGTGTATGTGCGATAATTGTGCGTAATTGCCATCTGATAAACTGATAAACGAACGCACTCTTCGCCCAATGTTGTGGCTCGCAGTCGTCCAGCGCTGAAAGCGACGCCATCGCTGCACCACGTGTTGCACATTGCTCATACGACGTGTGGTCGGTCGCATGTACGCAACCCAACAATGACTGCGCACAATCTTGCAGACATCGTCAATTTCGTGGGCGTTCGTTTTGTTACTCGTGCTGTCGGCATTTACCTGACAGAACACACACACACACGCGAATATACACGTACAACTCCGTTGAACGGCACTCACACCCACACCAGCGCGCGCGAATGCCAGAGACACACACACACACACGAGAACGAGCACGAGAATATACACGTACTACTCCGTTAACCGACACACACACACACGCGCGCGAACAGCAGAGACACACACACACACGTGCGCGAACGCCAGAGACACACAGACGAACACGAGCACAAGAATATACACGTATTACTCCGATGAACGACATACACGCACACACACGCGCGCGAACGCCAGAATCACACACACACAGCACGAGCACGAGAATATACACGTACTGGTCCGTTGAAATCTTTTGAATCCTCGTCCACTTTGATACGAACAGTGAAGCACGAACCGCTCGTATAAATCGCGTGTGTTTTGGCTGCCGATTCCACTTGGGTTTCGGTTCCAAAGCGGTGCAGTTATAAGCGGAAATATCCTGAGACTAACATAGAGCAGCGCAGTGCGAAAGCCAGCGACGGTTGAAATCGCCTTTAACTGTAGGTTTCAAATAGTCTAAAAGTGCTTTTCCAGTCTTAACACATTTTTCTTGTTTCGTGTGTTTTGCAGTGCAAAAATATTAAGTCGTGCAAATTTGAATATCCTACAACATTTTTAAGACTCATCTAAAAACTTCTCTCATTTTTTGGCTTTATCTCAAAAAAGGGTGAGTTAAATTTGAAATTAAACGACCTTAAGTAGTCTGTAAGAATAAAATGAATTTCATGGGAATAATTCTTAAGTTAAGCTACAAAAAGTTTTGTAGCAAGTTTTGTAAATCATTCAGTTGTTGGACTACTGTTGATATCCTTAGGGACCATTGGAATTTTTTTTCAATTTTATAGTATGTCGACAACTGTTAAGGGGCTGTTCTATGCTGAATTAGAATGTCTAATTATATATTGTTTTGAAATTTCCCTTTTCTGTTCATTAACTTCATTTTAATAGGACGTTTTCCTGTAGATTAATTCTTCTCTTTGTGTTTTTTAATATTATGTTTAATACTAGTTGGAGGAGATAAATCGTCACCATCTCTACATTGCATATATTTTAGTATTTCTCGTACTGCTGCTTTCTCTTCTGAATTTAATTTCCTTCTATATTTCTATTATTATATATATTCGCCATTTAAAAAGAAAAGTAGGAAATTTTCAAAAATATGTTTGAGGGCATCAAGTGCTCGGAGGGGAGCCAAAGGAGAGATCCAGAGAATGGAGTTATTAAGAGATTGACAGCCAAGGAATTGTCGTAGAGCTCCAGTATGTTGCAATGACATTTGCCAGTGCTTAAAATTTCTTTAGAAACAGTATGCAGTTGTTGAGAGATCTAGTATATATTATCTACTTATAATAATATATATCCAACTGGTATTCCCCGACCTTACTTGAACGAAGTTTTTTGCTTGAAACTTTAGACATGAACATTCAACACGTTTTTCTGTTGTGCATAATTTATATCTATATGTAAGTAAAGTACTCCAATCTTAAAAGTGTGCAGATGTGATCTCTAGTTCTTTTTCTGGTGAACAAAAAATATTTAAATTTTCCGCCAAATTTTTGATTTTTGGTTGGAAGTTTCAAAGTCTTAAGTTTCGCCCAATGCACCTTCAGATAATTTAAAGTTCTACCATAATGAATACGTTTGAAATATTTTAAAAATGCAACCCGCAACTGTGGAAACAGCTGAATCCAACTTTTTTTTCTTATTCGATGGACTTCAAACTTATTTCAAATAGATATGCGAAAAATATCTCTAGTCGAGGAGTTCTAGATAGTTAAAATTGAAAATTTCCACGGGCGGTAATCGGGTGTATAAGTTATATGTAATTTAATGCATAAAAGTTGCCATGGGAAAGGCTGGCGAATACCCTTTTGGATATAAATTCTTATCTAATCTGCTTCAAACTTTTTTTCAAAGCGCTACATAAAAATTTAATGAGTACGTGTTTCAGCAATTCTGGAATTTCCACCCGCAACTGTGTACATTTTATTTTAATCAATTTCAAACTCATTTTTAAAGATCTTTGTGGGACATTAGTTGATTCGTTTTTGCAAAGTTTAGCGCTCTTGGATGAAAATGCGGGTTTAATAAACGAAAATTAATTTCTCAGCATCAAGATTTTCACGACAAGACTAACGTGGGCGGAAACCGTTGATTTTAATTGGAAATTAAGATGCTACGGGTGAATTTGAATTTAATATCTTAAATTTACCACGGCAAGGCCGGACAATGCCCACTTGTGCCCATACCCATTTGATATATAAAAAGATGAAATCATGGAAGAAGTAAAACTTTCTAAACTGTCCATAAACATACTCCAATATTGTCTTCTAAATGTCGTAAGCTCCTGCCAATCGGCCAGTCACACACATCCGTGGCCCTTCTGCTAAATGTGTGCTCAGCCAAAGACATTTGTTCCTGGCCTTGGTTGCCTTTTTGCCTGCTTAGCATGGGATTTCGCCCATGTGACCCTTTTAATGTCACAAAAATCTTCACTGAATATTGCTGAATTAAGGTCGGTTCGTACCTTTATTATTTTATACTTTGGCTCTGCTCGTAAGTGGATGTCTTTGGGATTATGGTACAAATTGCAAGCTTCAATAAGCGACAGATTTTAAGTACACGTAATGTGCCTTTTAAATTGCTATTATGTAGCTTAAGGTTGATAGGAGTTGAATGGGCTGCTTTCAGTTTGTTGAAGTTTGCTTCTGATGAAACTGTCCAAAATTGTCGTTAACTGAAATTACACTGAAATCAGAAAAAAAAACCTGCTGTCGGCATATTACATCTGTAAAATTTGTTCTTGTTATGAGATGTCTATTAACAATGTGTAATGATTCAAGAATTATTGTTCAGTGCCTTGCAATGCAAATATGTACATTTTACAGAAATAAGTAACATGTGTTACTGTGATTTAATAAATATTACAAAATCGGGTATCTTTGCAGATCTGTGAGAATATGTGTGCTTGTTTATGCTGAGTTTGGAGAAGGTATCCTGGAGAACGGAACTGTTTCTTATTATAGAGCTGTATATAATAAATTAGTGGAATCTGAATAAGATTTGGTTAATATAAGAGCAGCCTAGGGAAACTAATACAGATATCATTATAAAAAATAGTTGTTCATACAAAAACTATATTTTTGAGCTATATTTTCCTATAGCAACTGTGTGATATAGTGATACGGCCCGCCGGTTTCAACCTATGTACTGCCTGTAACAGAGCGACGGATCTAAGTTTTATAATGACATCAACTGACTATTGATGCAGACCACGATTATATATGTTAACATTTTTGCTGTTAGAGATGACTTCTTCAATGCACATCTCATGACAAAACTATGATACCCTCTTCAAGGGTATAACTATACTCTGCTTAAGTTTTTCTTAAATTGCTTTAAATGGTGATATTTAGTGGAGCTGCCCTTGTGCCTTTTTAAGTTTGTTTTCTTTAAATTTACTTAAATTAAACAACAACAAAAACAACTGTGCGTAACGGAAAATACCTTGGATTTCTTCACGTCAGCGTTTTAATTTCAATTCACCTTTGTTTAGCCCTGTTGAGCTTCCAAATGAGCCAGGGGACAGGGCAAAAATAACATGAGCGCATCTGCTTTTCACCGAAAACTTTTCCATTTTCAATTAGTTCACAAAAACCCTGATAAAGTTTTTTGCGAATACCAAAACAGCAATTAAAAGACCTTAATAATGCTCAAGTTAAACGGTCAGCTACAAGACTGAAAGAGCTTACAAAAATTATTCAAGGCCCTGAAGTACCCTTTTTTAGTCTGTCCGTCTGTCGTATTCGAATAAGTTTCTCAGTTTTAAAACTATCGTCTTTCAAACTTTACACAGGTTCGTCTTTCTGTTGCAGGCAGCATATTTGACTGCCAAATTTGCGACATGTACTTGTTAAATCGCCAAAAGTTAAATACAAACAAGTAAGAGACTCTAGTCAGGAGTTTCCGACTAGGGAATACCCTGAACCATCTTCTACCGTAAACTTATCAAGGGTTATGAGATACTGGGACATGACATTGCATGCCCTTTTCAGTGCAGGGAATACACAACCACACACACACATACACACAGAGACACACACATACATGTTAATAACTTAACACAGAGTTTAAATCTCTAACCAGTTATTTATCCGTCGAGCTTTGCTGCATTTGTTGCAAATTAATCCAAATTGTGAAAGCTAATAGAACTTTGGAAATTTTAACTTATATTTACTCTATGGTCCTATCATGACGCCCTCGTGACTGCCGTCAAATTTCTGTTGCAAGTGGCATTTTAAGGGGTATTAAGCGAATTACTGCTATAATATTATGATGCTTCTGGACAACGAAATACATGCTTTTATGCAGAGGAGCTATTCAGGTTTCGAATTGTCCACGACTTTTGCAAAAAAAAAAAAATGTTCATATATAATTAGATGACTTTATGGGCAGAGATGGAAATTTATACTGGCGGCACGTAAAAGTTAATAAAGAGCAATTTTGCTCATTTGCGGACTGAATAAAATAACAAATTGAGTTTCTTTTAATACCCATGTAGCTCGATTGCACAAACTTATTGTACAAGCCGGGAATTATACGCTTATATAAATAGGATTCCGAATATTCTAAGATAATTTTCAGTTTTTCAACATTTTTGAGAATATACAAATACTCTATAGCAGAATTAGATCTAATGCTTAAATTTTCAACAAGATCGATTGATATTCACAGAAGTTATTGGAGAAAAAGTGTGGTTGGCAAGCCTCGTGGCATTGGCAGCTAGCTCAAAACGCAAGAATTTCCGTGCATGCGCTTTTCTTTTATTTCTACCTGATGCTTTGTGAACGTAATAGCTCGCTTAGGATGATATGAAAATATTTAATTTAAGCGCAGACCATAAATGTTGAGATATTTTTTAAACCGAATTTATTACAAAATGCAAACATTGTCATACAAACAATTTGGAAGCCTTTAAGCAAACAAGAAGAAAACCACATAATACCAACGCCATCGCTGAGCACTGGATGAGGGTCAGAGCGGGGAGGGAACGGGCAAGGACGCGGGATAAGAGACGAGTAAATGCATGCCTTATCACTGGAGACTGGCATTTTCCTGGTGCCACTCAGTGGCGAAATTCACATGGCTGTGGCAAAGAAATACTTATGAAAAATGTAACATAAAATACACTTTTAATGCGGATAAATATTTGAGAAAAGAAGGCATTCGTGAAAATGAATATTGTTGATATGCTTATACGCAAGCAATTCTGTGTTGTGGAAGGGCCAGAGTGCACGATACAATATTTACTGGTTCGATCTCATTTACATACATATACATACATTACCTGGCAAGTTTTGTACTTACAATTTTAGATATAACTTTTTGAACCAATTCCCGCCCGTGAAAAACTGCAATCTGAACTACTTTGGACGTTTAAAAATATATTTAAAGTCAATCGAATAGAGGTGAGAATGTTAAGGCCGAAAAAAAACTTTCGTTTATTAAACCGTCGACCCGCATTTTGTTTGTTTCCGATATTCGATAACTTACCCCATTTCCAAGTAATCGATAAAAATCGATAAAAATTGATAAACAAATCTCTTTGGTTTTTAGGGCTAGAGTTGCCCGGCTTCTCGAATATCAACTATCTTTCATTTTATAGAT